GTAGTATGGTTGAGAACCACTGAGATGGCAATGCCCTTTTGAGAAGCATTGGTCCAAGAAAGTTAAATTCCTTCCCCTTCTCCATCGATACAGCTCTGTGCTTCCCCCCGCCCTATAAAATGGGGATAGCTCATGTCAATGCTATAACTAGGATCAGTTTTGGATGGTATGAGAGGGTGCTATATAAATACATTCAAAAGGAGTTGTATTACACAATTGTTCTATTCCTGAAAAAAGGTAAGTCAAAAAGTTTTGCATGCACTAGAACGTTTACTCTTTAAAGGAACCAGAAATGAACCCCCTTTTTAAGAGAAAAACTATGTGTGAAACTGGATTAACTTGTTTTTAATTTGATGTTTTGTAAAATCAAAGTTTTATAGATCTTATTTTTCTGTAAGAGTTTGTATTTTAATTTGCTATCAGAATCCTTACTTCTAAGTAGAACAAGATTTTTAATGGACACAGCATATTTATTGTCCTAGGATTTTCTAGCTGGAAACCATTAAAAGAGGGTGGAGTGTGCCTTGCTACTAATTTAATTTAGCTTTGCTTAAATCTTACACATGTTCAGAATTTGGATAAACTCAGAAAACTTATTGTGCAATATTTCTTTAAATCCACATACACCAGAGGAAGTTTAATCTCTAAGGTTTTGATTCATTAAATTTTGCTCATTAAAAAGCTATGTTGCAACCCTGTCCTATTTCCAAAAAAACCATGACCTTTCTATTTGGAAAACTATAAAGCCTTGGCTCATGGGAAGTGACTGAACTGTGAACTCTGGAGTATAACAAGTTTATGGTGTTCTAAACTCACTCAGTTAAAATACAGTGTCTTCTGTCTCTAATGATAACTAAAGTTCACTAAATTAATTTTAAAATTTTGTTTATACACGCAACATGGTGTACTGGCCAACTATTAGTTCTAAGCCATGACATTCTGCACTCATCTAAATTATCTGGTAAAATTTGAGTGGTACAAGATTGCTTCAGTTTCTCTCTTTGTGTAGACGCAGGCTGAAGATCTCAAAGGCAGCCATTAATATCATAGAGAAATAACAAATTTGGATACTCCAGAGAAATGCTGTTAGTGGCTTTTTGAACAGACACACATGAACTTCATACTATACATATGAACAGCTTTATTTTTCTGGGAAAGAGGGCTCACTGGAAACAAAAAAAATCTCACTTAGGATTTTTGCATAACCACGCTTAGGCATATCTACTGTATTAACTCCTTTTTAAATTATAAGTACTTTTTTTTATAGTTCATGTTTAACTTTAAGCATGAAGTCATGAACTCATGGCCTTTTATAAACTCAACTTTTCTGACTAACCATTGTTATTATTTTATTTATGCTCAAATTGGCACAGCTTGGCAAGTGGGAGCTTGCTCCTGCATCGGACTGCTTTGTCTCTATGGCATTGCAATCAAAAATCAGATTCCAGATTTCTTTCTGGACAACAGGCTCAAGGCCCATCTTGATTTTTTTTTTTTCCTGCCCCAAAGCATGGACTCAACTATCCTCCAAGGGGTCCTGACTCCTTTTAATAAAAAAAAAAAAAAAAGAAGATGAAAGCTGGCATCGCATGCAAGTGCTGCCTCTGTGGCTGTTATTGGGTCATTCTGTTGTGATAGAGCTGAAAACATTTCTTTCAAAGTCATGAAATCACACTGATTTCTGTGATATATTGTATTCTATCTTTCTAATGTGATTTTGTTAACCACTAAGGGTTTCTGCTAAATTGTCATTTCATATAAAGTCAGTTATGAATTGTTTTTAATTTCATATACTTCTCTGTGCCATTCCTCTCCTCTCTGCCCCACTAGCAGCCACCACCTCGCCCAGGCCCCATTTCAGCTGGGTCACAGCAACAGCGTCCTCACTGACCTCCCAGGCCCCAGTTTGTCCACACACTACCTCCAGACACAGCTCCCTTTAGCTCCTCTTCACTACCTGGCGCCTTTCCTTTTAAAACTCTTTCAGTGGCTCTTCTTGGGCACAGCCCTGCATGAAACTGCCGAGGAGGACCCCTCCAGTCCCTTAGGGTTTGTTGTCCCCAAGGCTGGTGAGGACTGGAATGCAGCCTGTCCACTTGTTTCTTGCTGCCCCCACAGGGAAGCATTCAGATCTTGTTCATATTAAGGATTCTTTAAGGATTTAAGGATTCTTAATCACTAAAAATAAAAAGACATGGGCAATTGGCACAGCTAACAAACACCAGAGAATTACAAAGCACATAAAGTTCCAATTAAATGGTTCTGGTCTCTGGGCGGGGCCCAGCAGTCACTGGCCTGGCCCCTGGGGCTTGGGAAGGAAAAAGAAGCTTCAAGAGCCTGCAGAGCTGTACTGAAACACAGAGAGCCCCAGGTAAGCTAGTGATTTTCAATCCTCAAATCAAATAGTTCAACCTTTGATTAAGGCAGCAGAATTGACATATGAGAGAGCCATTTTGTAGATTTCCACCGGAGGGGTCTGTTTGCTTCAACAAGAGGTAAGATCTATTCACATTTTGGCAGTTATATGGCAACTTGAGCCAGCTGGCACCAGACTTCTGATTTATTATAGAAATGTAATAAATGAATGGTGCCCCAGAAAGCTGTCCCTTAATTCCCCTCTAGTGCTGGGAGCCAGTTAGAAAGGGCAGGATCACATTTTCAAAGAGTGATTGCAGGGACTCAGAATCAGAACAATGATCCCAGATGGGCCATAAAGTATGAAAGGCCTGAGGCAGGTTTCAGGTGCCTGAGCTTGAGGTAGAGGAGGAGGAAAGCAGAGCACCTGTCATCGGGTTGAAAGAAATTCTGCCTTGTTAACAGAACCCCAGTGTTGTGCAGGGCAGCAGCAACGTCTCTAGCCCAGGCCAAAAAACCCAACCCACTATTAGGCTAAGGTAATCATGACAATCCCATTTGCTTTGGGCAGGTATGTGCTCTCCCAGCCTGATTATAAGGGAGTCCAAGTCTTAGCCAATGACAGGTAGAAAGCTTCTCAAGGTTTCTAGAAAGGATTTTGTATTCTGATAAGAGACATGAGGGGGTAAAGTTTACCTGTTCATCCCCTACCTCCTGCTTTTGAGGACAGTTGGGAAACCCAGGGTGCAGTATCCATCCTGATTTGGGACGCAAAGGCCTGGGTTCCTGATGAGATCCTAGGCTATGCTCCAGTCCTGAAACTGCCTCCAGTCTTGTCTGTAAGATCCTGAAACACGTCCGCTGCTGAAAGCCATGTTAGTATCTTAGGGGTGGCATGCCTTGATGTGGGCATTTTCCCATCAAGTGCCAGGCATTAAGCGGGCCCTTTCAACTTTGAACATCAAGCTCATCAGTTCTAACAAATGCCCTTGAATTCAAGGTATCATCATCATGAAATTTCAGAACTTCACAGATAAAGAGAAGATCCTAAAATCTTTCAGAGAGAAAACAGGCCACAAAAAAATGGCCCATGACTTCTCAATAACCACACTGAAAGACAGAAGACAATAGAAAATGTCTTCAAAATGCTGGGGAGAAATTCTTTTCAAACTAGAATTCCATACAAGCCAAAATTTAAACTTGAAGCTTAAATAAATAGCTTCAGATACTTGAAGGCTCAAAAACTTTAGCTCTCGTGCTCCATCTTAAGAAATCATTAAATGGTATGCTCTTGGGAAGAAAGAAAAAGGAAGGCATAGATCCACAGATCCAATGGACTCTCAGAATCTCTAGACTAGTGACATGCAATTTTTAGGCCTCGTCAAAGCTCCCCATCAACTCTTACATCACATTTAACCCACTCATCCAACCAGACAGCCTGCTGCTTCCCCAGGGCCCGCTCAGTATTCTTCCTCCAGTCTTTATGCCCCCAGGGATGTAACAGCTAGAAGCAGCCACTCCCACTCCCCAGTGCTCCAGTAGTAAAATTACTTCTGTGAAACCACTGACAGTCTCCTGTTTGGAGAATCTAATGGGTACATCTGCTTTTGCCTTACTTGAACTCCCTCCTCTTGGCTTATATGGGAACATTTTCAACTCTTTTCCTACTGCTCTAATGACACTTTACTAATTTCTTATAGCTTCTGCCTCCCACATCTCTTAAATGTAGAGTCTACCCTGGCCTTTTCTGTCCTAGTCCTCTTGATTTAACCTCCTTGTACCTATAAAATCAGTGGCTCCTTTCCAATCCCACTGCAACTGCCTTAGTTCGACCCTCATCATTTGTCTATATTTTGTAAACAGTTTCCTACACTGGTCTCCTTGCCACCACCTTGCCCTCTACTTCCAAGCTATTCTACAGTGTAGCCAAATTATTTCTAAAACATCTAATCGTGGTGCTGCCCTCTTGAAAACCTTTCAGTGACTCCTTACCACCGGTAATACTTAAATTCTTGAGCAAGTAAGTTCCCACAGACTATCTGATCTCTCAACCAAGAGTCTGGGAAGCCATACTGCTCCAGACCTTTCACGTGCAGCACCCTCTGCCCCATTATCCCCTGCCAGTCCTTCCAGACGCAACGCAAGCCTCCCCTCCTTTCTGCACCCCTGACACACCATGCACCGGACCGACAGGACAGGCCTGTGGCTCCACCGCCCAAGACAGTAACGCTCCCATTCAGGAGTCCCCCGGCTCGACGGGAGCACCTCCAGGGCGAGGCCGTGTCTCAGCCACCCCTGGGTCCGCCAGCCAGGCACAGCGCCTGACACGGGATCAGCAAATGTTGGTCGAATGAATAAGAACAAAAGAGCGTCCTCTCTCCCTGGCCCTGCTCTCATGCTGTAGGCCTGGGTTTTGACTTTCTCCGAAGACTTGGAGATGCGAGTCCCTAGGACCCTACCTCCCTGGAAGGCGGACTAGAGCCAGAGGCAGGAAGGTGCGGCCGTAGCCCGCCGAGGCCCCGCCCCCGAGGCCCGCTCAGGCCCCGCCCCCGAGGCCCTCTCGCTCTCCGCGGCGCGCGCCGCTTACGTCACAGCCTCGCCTTCTCTTTCCCTAGCCTCAGCCTCCTCCCGCCTCTCCAGGCGACCCGGAAGTTGTACTTGCGACCTCTGCTTTCCTTCTCCCACAATCCCTCGCGCTCCTCCTTTCCGACTTGGGCCCGGCGGAGTGAGTATGGGTGGCAGGTTCTCGGCTTAAGAAATCCAGTGCCATCCTCCTCCGGGATTGTGCCGACTCGGACGGCAGGATCTCTCCCGAGCCTGCCCGGAGCTTCGCGTTTCCGGGAATGGGAATCCACGCCCCGTTTAAAGGCTCCTGGAGCCTGGGAGGGAGAACAGCCAAGCTTAGGGGATCAGGGACCGCAGGGGCTTCCGGGTCGGGAGCACCGGAGGGGCGCACCGGAGGGGCGCGGATACATGGGGCGCAGGGTGGCGGGCTTGGTGTGGCTGGACTCTTGGCACCAGGAAACGCCCCGAGAGCGGCAGCGTGGGGTCGAGCCCGGGAGGGAGGACTTGGCTTGGCCCTTTCTGCTCTGAATCCTTTCGCCTGCGTTTAGATGGCTCCCGCAAAGAAGGGTGGCGAGAAAAAGAAGGGCCGTTCTGCCATCAACGAAGTGGTGACCCGAGAATACACTATCAACATTCACAAGCGCATCCATGGAGTGTGAGTATCCCTGCAGTTGGCCGGGGACTCGCGAACTCGCGTGTGGTTGTCACTTTCAGAGAGCTACCTAATCGTTTAAGGCTAAGTGGTATAAAAATTACGCGTTTCTTTTTCAAAATCGCAAATGTACTGCACGTACCCTACCTAAGGTTTGAAGTGTACTGCTCTGAAGTTAGTGAATGGAAACGTGCACTTGAGTGAAGTTTTTGGACAGTCGATTTTGGAAAACTTCCCGATGCTAAAATGAGAACATCATTCACTCGGTGCTTTTGCATTTGCATTAAACCTGGACAGGCTAGAAGGTGAAAGATGTGTACATGAGGGAGAGCGGGCCTTTTTAAAAAAACACTTAAAGATTGCAGGAACATTAAATAAGAAAAGCTGTGTCCTGGCTAGAATGTAAACACTTAAATGGGATTCATTTCATTGCCTGACCCACACAGACATGTACAGATAATACTGATCAAGTTACAGTACCAGAAATGAAAATGCAACAGAGAGACGAAGAGTGTATCGGCAGAGTTATAGGGCAGTATATGGTGGGGACCCAAGGATGTTGTGGATTTATGGTGTACAGAAATGTGAGGAATGTGTAGCAAAATGTACGCACTGAAATACTTTATTCAGGCCTCAGTCTGTGGAGCAGAGTTTCTTGCACTTGACTAGGCAGTCTCAGGACCACTAATTTTGCCAGCATTTAATGTGTGGCAGCATTCATATTGGGCCTGGCATCCCAGCCAAGTATTCACTCAGTCAGCCAAGGAGCATTGTGTGTGTTGTCTTATTTGGAGTCTCTGAGATGACTTCTGGGTCTAAAGCCCAGTGCCTTTGTGTTACTGCTGGTTATGAGTAGCTGTATTCTCTCTCCGCCTTTATTTGGAACATGCATGCTTTCATTTAGGGGAAATGTCAAGCATTTAACTGTATCAGGTACTGCCCTGAGCTCTGGAGATACAGCAGAGAACCAAAGACCCTACCTTCCTTGTTTACTAAATGGTGGGGGATGGTAGGCAAGTGTTTAGATATAAGATGGTAAAAAAAAAAAAAAAAAGTGCCAAGTGGAAAGCAAGTCACAGGGTGAAAGGAGGGGTGCTGCTTTAAAGAAACACAGATAATTGGACATTTGTAAAGTGTGGATGTAAGCTGTGCAGATGGACTAGATTTTTAGGCATTTTGTACTTCGTCACAAGGACCTCCCTGGTACTTACTATATCCTTGGGTTATTTCTCAGTGCTTGCTTGCTTGACAGTTCATTCTTCCGTGACAGTGCTTTATTCTTAAGCTCCATGGACTTGTTTTTCTTTCTACTTCACTAGCTGCTCTTCAGTCTCCTCACATCCCTGTTAATGTTGAGGAATCCCACTTTTCTATCTATGCTTGGTAATGGCAACCAGTCTTACGGCTTCACATGTGTTAAACTTATTTGACATCTCTACTTGTGTATATTAATAAGCATCTCAAACTTGACCTAACTGCCGGTGTTCGTGTCCATCCCCAGCCTGTTCTCTTGTGGCCTTTCCTATTTCATTCATGGGCAATTTAGCAAATCCTGTGGGCTCTGCCTTCTGATTTTTACTTTTTTTCCCTGTGCCTGAATGCTTTTCGCACAGACAACTAAATGGCTGCTCGTTGCCATCACACCTCAAGTCCAGTAGCACCTTGGCTGTGTTACTGAAACTTGTGCTCCTCTTCTGTAATGCTCTTTTCCCTGGTTTATTGTTCTCTACAGAACTTGATACCATTTGATGAACTCTATAGGTCGCTTACATAAGCTGTGAGAAGAATGGGATTTTGTCTGTTTTGCTGTTATTTCTAGCACCCTTTACTTCTAGATGGTTATTTGTTGGTGAATGAAGCAAGCTTGTTTGATGGTTCCAGAAATAGCAAGGAGGCTAGAATGGGTAGAGCAAAGGAGAGAAGTTTGCAGTCTTGGGGGTGGGGTAAGACACCTCGTTAGGATGTTTGGTCTCTGCCTTTCTTGGAATGGCCTTCACTTAAACAAATGCTTGGTCTTTTCAGCCTGTGTAAAGTTCTGTGTTGTGTTTCTTAGTTAACTGAAAGCATAAAATTAAAATAAATCTGTATGCCTTCCTGTTGAACAAAAGGTTACTGGTATCTGAGAGTTTTGAACAGACATAAGTTAATGAGTGCATGTAATGCTCCTGCGATAGTGCCTGATGCATGCCAACCAAGAGCTCCAGAGAATTGACTGGGTCCTCCTCATACTTGACAGATCTGCCTTCACATTTCAGCCCCTGCTTTTTAAGTGTAGACCAAGTTATTGTATTGAGTGATCTGTTCAAAAACATGTCCTAAGACATGAAGACATGACACATAATGAGATTATATTTTGATTTGGGGGCGGGGGGGGGACTTCAGTGAAAATGGATTATAAATGATGGCGTTGAGGGCTTATCGTTTGTATTTCATTTAAATTTGTGCTCATGTCATTATGATTTGTTCACTTATGTTTGAATCTTAGGGGCTTCAAGAAGCGTGCCCCTCGGGCACTCAAAGAGATCAGGAAATTTGCCATGAAGGAGATGGGAACTCCAGATGTGCGCATTGATACCAGGCTCAACAAAGCTGTCTGGGCCAAAGGAATAAGGTACTAAAGTTATCTGTGTTAGAAGGTGAACTTTTACAGTAACACTAGCTTGTCCAGCTCACTGTGCACAGTCCATGTGACCTTAAAATACCATGATAGTGACTTGGGGTGAGCTGGCATCTGCAGGGAAGCCCTTTAACATGACCTGTGCACGGAGACGCAAGTGAAGGAGCCAGCAGTATGGGGTGGGAAAGAGCATTGCGTAGAGAGCAAATCTGCGATCTGGGAGCAGGATGGTTGAGGTAGTGGTGGAACAAGTGACTAGAAGACCAGTGAATGAAGAAGTTGTCACTATCGGGCGTTGCTACAGCACAGGGATTAGTAAACATTCTACAATGAATCGGGCAGCTCCTCCAGTAAAGAATTGCCTGGTCTAAATGTGAGTAGTGCTGAGGTTGGGAAGCCCTGCTTTATAGTGGGGGGGGGAGCCGGAGGGAAGCTTATGCTGTGAAGGACACTGCAGGTGCTAGAGCAGAGGGGGTACCAGGTAGTGGAATGACAGTAGGGTGGGCTAGTTGATTCTGTGAAATGGGTGTTCCAGGGACTGTGGGCATCTGGGTAATATTTAAACCTTAGGGTTGGGTGAGATGACCGAGAGAGGGACCTGAGACTCAACTTTGTAGTGGGCTGACATTTAGGGGTATGGCAGAGGAGAGGTGTCCAGTGAACCTTCAGTGCCTGCCTTAGGGTGATAAGGGAGGATGTGGTGTCACAAGAGCCAAGAGCAGTCCTGGGTTTATAGGAATTGGGGCCTAGACTAACACCTAGCACAGCCTAGGATTTCAATAAAGGAAGGAGATACACTCAGCTGTAATGGTCTTCTGTGTTTAGTATAGCTTGTAGAGTTTTAATAATAATGTTTCTCCAAATTTAAATGAAACAGAAAAATCCCATACAAGAATTCTCCAATGGTAGAGGCAAAAGACTAGCACATTTGGACTCATTTCTGCTTAGGAGTATCAGTGGTGGTTGCCTTAACATGTCTTAACAAGCATGCATCCTGAGATGACAGCATTTAATGTCTACCTGGGGGTATGTTTTATTTTCCAGGGAACTGGTAAGTTCCTCTTTGGTCAAGGTTAGAGCAAACGATAGAGCATTAGAAGAAGGGTGTGGATGTGTGAATATAGCTGCTGGCTATTTTCTTGAAAGGAAGCATTGACTTGAGCAACATGTTTATGTATTTTTATTAGGAATGTCCCATACCGGATCCGTGTGCGGTTGTCCAGAAAACGTAATGAGGATGAAGATTCACCAAATAAGCTCTATACTTTGGTTACCTATGTACCTGTTACCACTTTCAAAAGTAAGTTTTCCTTCTCCATCTCACACAGCTGTTTAAAGTAAATTGGAAAATATCCTTACCTCTGTAACAACCTGAATTCATGTGTTCAGCAAATAGGAGTGACAGGCATTGTCATTATACCTTTTTATAAATTGTGTTGGTGTAGGAAGATGAAAAAGAATATATAAAACTGGTCCGTGTCTAAGTGTACAAAGATCATGGAAAATGGAACGCTGCTACACACAGACCCTTTTAGAAAAGGTTTTTGGAGTGTTCAGGTATGAAATGTGTTGTGTTGTGAATATGGAAGTAAACTGTCACTTCACTTCTTTTGCAGATCTACAGACAGTCAACGTGGATGAGAACTAACCCCTGATTGTCAGACATATCAAATAAAGTTAAAAAACCACCATCATGTTTTGGTTTTCCTTTTCTAGTTGCAACATAATGTGCTTGCATATCCTAAAGCAGTTCCCAATTACGGGATCATTTGGACAGCTTTTCCTAAATACTTTTAACGTCTGTGCGCCCTTCTCCCTGTCCCTTGGAGTTTGATTATTTGACAGGGTCTAAGCAGGTTTTTAAAGTTAATTTTTAGAACCACTGTTGTAAGTAGTTGAGAAATTGGAGGCATGATGTTAATGATTTTATACTTGCATGTTTCATTAATTCCAAGATAAACAAACACTTGTCCAGAAACCAGGACATAGAATTCAGTTGCCATTGGCCACTTTTCCACATTGTAAGAAACTGTAAAATGATATCATCTGTAGATCTTAGATTTAATGAAATAACATGGTAGTATAGTATACCTTTAAGCTTCTCCCTACATCTGTATTGAGTGTAATTGTCTTAACTTGCACTATACACTGAGGCCATAGATGGGCTAGGGCGATTCCAACTTGTCCATTAATTGGCACTGTCTACACCTGAAGACACAAGGTAAAAGGACTAACTCAATACAAAAATTTTTTATTAAAAAAATTTTGAGGCCAACATTAGAAGCATGGTTTGTACACAACATTTTTGAAGGACGTACAAAGTGGATACAACCAAATATATTAAAATGGTTTCAATTACCAGCATTGAAACAAAAAATTAGTGCAAAAAAAGCCAAATACAATTGCACAGATAGTGGACTCTAGATCTTGAAAGTGAGTTTGAGTCTTGTCCTTCCCAGTGAAAAATGAGGGCTTGGGGCTTATCTTGTCCCTTGGTTAGTAAGACAACGACTTGTGTTCCATCTGAGAGTAAAATCATACTGGCTGGCATCACAGTGCAAGTGCCCATTTCAGCAAATCTGATTTAAAAAAAAAAAAATTGTGAGTCACAGCATCAAGGGAACTGATGGATACTCTACAGCACTGGTATTGTCCAATCAGCAATTCTCTTAATAAATAGAAATGCATGAGGGTTGTGTTGATTTCCCCCGGCTACAGTTTATCAGGTTACTTATCCAGATATCCGGTTTGTAAAGTGTACTCAAAGTAAACTGAAATCTGGGTTTATGGGCTGACAACCCAAGCAGCAGCCTGGTCGTGCTTTGGTATGGCAGACTCCAGTGTTCACGGCAACTACTGTCTTGCTACAAGTTACTCAGCTTCAGTTCAGGCTGTGATTGCCGGCTCATTTCAGAGGTTTTGAGATTGTACTGATTGATCTTGGCGTTTTCAAGTTTAGATTTCATGTCTAGTGGCTTTTCAAAAAAGTTTACTAATGATTGTTCAGTCAGAAGTGATGCTAAAATGTGTTCTAGGGAAACAGTCCAGTCCCCTCCTGCCTGCTCAGGAAATGTCTGGGGGTCCTGGGGAGTCTTCCCAGTGTCGGCAAAGACCGAGTCCTGCTCCGGAGAAGGCGCTGAAGCCTGCAGCTCCTCCCCGCACTCCTGGGAGCAGCTCCCAGAGCTGCTGCTCCGCTGCCCCACCTCCCCGATCTGCAGCAGCAGGGTGGTGACCGTGGCGATGGCTTGATACAAATCGTTTTCTTCTGGATCTTCGTGGAACATACTGTACAAAGTTTTACAGAACTGGATAAATTCTCTCTGAAATTAAAAAAGACTCTATTTAGCAGCAGAACCAGGATGTGGATATGTTTTTTAAAACTTTACACCTTTGTTCTTAGAGAAAACCATACATTACTTTTGAAGAAGGAATACATGGTAATCTCCGCCCTTTCACTCTGAAAACACCATTAACAATGACTCCAGGGGATTTTGACACACACTTGAAAGTGTGCTGCTGCTTGTCTGTACGGTAACTATTAATAAGAAACGTGGAGACCTTCCCAGAGGACGTGCATACCCTTCAGCCCAGCAAGTCAACTCGTACAAATGTGTCCAAAGAAACCAGAGCAATGTACAGATTTATCTATGAGGATCTTCAAAGCTAGAGTTTAGAATAGACATTTGAAACACCTGAAGTATTACGATTAAATAAAACTGGCATGCTCACCTGCTGGGAATACCATGCAGGACCTAAAATGTTGTAAAATGAAATAGGACAGTGATGCCTGACGTTTTCTCAAATTACATCACACTCCTGTCGAAATTTAGAATCTAATGTTCGGAGAGATGCTTTGGGTGAGACTTAGCTACTCAATTACTCTAGGAACAGAAAAATGGTTGTGAGCTACTAATTTAACAAATATTTAATAATTTGGAGGAAATATCCAGGATTATTTTGAAGTAAAGGAAAGCAAAGTATTAACATGGCCCATTTTTGTTTAAAGCATAGCTATAGCCAAAACAAGTTAATGTTATGTGTATCAGAATGTTAATACCAACAGCTTTGGGTGATGAGATTTAACTGACTTTATCACACATCCATGGAGCAGAATGAAAATCCGAAAGCTATTCCCCAATGGAGTAGACAGAGCAGCATTTCTCAAATATGCTATGAAATACTAATCCCACAGGATGTTTTGTGGTTAAAAAAGATTGAGAAACATTTGCATGCTAAATTCCACTCTTGAAGGCTCACAGTAGATAGCACCAAAATGATTTAAATCCCATAATAAAAGAGTGTTTTTAACTGTAAGCCAAATTTCCTAAATACTGGGAGGGAACACTTTTCAAATTAAAAACAAAACCTACCACCATCATATGGCACTTGTAGCATAGAACCCTTTTCTGGAAAATGCCCAGAGGTTTTAGAGCCCGTATATCATGTAGTCAATGATTTCCAAGAAAATGGAGAGAGTACACTAATATTTTTTAAGGGGAGAATGCTGTATCCACAGTGGCCTCAAATGCTTCCATCACCCAAAGGCACAAATCCTTATCACAGCCTGGATAAATGAATTTGATATAAAAACTTAAAAAACGTGAAGTGTGTAGCAGCTTCCTGTTTTAAAGAGCTGTGAATATCTGGAATGTCTGAATTGATCACAATTTGAATATTTCCCATTTGCTTACCACAACACTCAGCTACCTAAAGTTACAAGATCCTGGACTCCAGAAATAAAGGGGCCCAACCTCAATTCTCAAATTAATCATTTGGCAAAATCATTTGGCAAAATGGCTCATTCTCTGCACAGAAGAAAGTCCATACCTGGCTCATTTTGGGCAACTCTTTCTCAGCTTTATCTTTTTCTTTGGCTAAATCTTTAATCATCTGCTTCAGCTGTTTCTGATAATCAACTGCATCACCTTCAGACAAAGGGAAACAATATATAGTTTAAATAGATTCAATGAAAGCAAAAAGGAAAGTACAGGAGGAGATAGCAAGGGGATGAGGAATCCCACTAAGCAACTTCCATACAAAACTGTGAAAAGTGAGAGATTCCCTCGGACAGACAGTTTGTTTTACAGCTGACCACGGATGAAGGGTGTTAGCTGGGGGACTTGTGCTACAAAAGGGCCCGGGAAAGAGCAAACAGGAGGAAGGGACTTGGGGGAGAGGAGCCACCAGCAACACTTCCACTTGGAAGGTTTCTGGCCTCCGAAGGCAGTGAGCTCAGTGTTAGTTCACCAAGGCTGCTACAAGAAGTGTGGTGAGGGCAACCCGCGTGCCTGCCTGCTGCAGCAGTGCGCCCTGGGGAAGGAGAGGGCAATGGAAAGAGGTACATGCCATTGGGCTTCCCGAAAACCAGGGGTCTTGACGTCGACAACAGAGGATTCTTTAATGGTGACTGGCTGTCGCAGTCATTTTCAGTGAGTGCTTAAAAAGAGAAAGAGAGATGTGTTTAAATTGAACAAATTTTCTGTCTAACCAAAACTGACAGAGTAATTTAGCTTTTTATTCTAAATTTTTAACTAAAGGCTAAGTCAGCAGCTCCCAACCTGTGGGCTGCAGTCTTTGCGTGGTCCGTGAACCCAAATGCCTCCAAGCACTGTCTGGATACACAGAGGGAATAAAATGTCACACACCAGGTGTGTCTTTTCCCTGATTCATGGTTAGCTACTGCTGTAAGTATTAACACACGAAATTCATAGAAGGACATTGCTGATTTTCATCTGGAAAAATGTGTGTAGTAAAACTCCATTTTGTAAAGCTAAAATATATACATATATCATACTCCAGAAATAAATACACTACGTCTCTGGATGGTGGACTAATTGGCAATCACTTTAAATTTTTCATTATGTTATTTCTCTGTAATTAGCACATACTGCTGTAAATACACAATTTCTTTAGAAAGTTGAAAAAGCTTTACTGAATTCATAGCATATCTTATTAGGAGTTTTCTTGAAATGTTCTAAAATTGATTGTGGCGATCACTGCACAGCTCTGTGAATATATTAAAATAAAATTATATCTGAACTCTTATACATTGCTGGTGGGAATGTAAAATGGTTCAGCCACTTTGGAAAACAGTCTGGCAGTTCCTCAAAACATTAAACATAGAGTTACCATTTGTCTCAGAAATCCCATTCCTAAGTATATAACCAAGAGAATTGAAAAACATATGTTCACACAAAAACATGCACAAATATTCATAGCAGTATTGTTCATAATAGCCAAAAACAAGCCAAATGCTGAATAAACAAATTGATAATAATAGAATAATATTCACACAATGGAATATTATTTGGCCACAAAAAGGAATGAAGCATTGACACTTGCTACAACATGGATGAATCCTGAAAACATTACACCAAGTAAAAGATGTCAAACACAAAATGCATCAACTCCATTTATATGAAATGTCCAGAATAGGCATATCTCTAGAAATAGCAAGTTGTCTAGCACTGCAAAAAATGGATGGATAGATGGGAGTGATAGCTAAGGGTACAAGGTTTACTTTTAGGGTGATGAAATGTTCTAAAATTGATTGTGGTGATCACTGCACAACTCTGTGAATGTATTAAAAAAATCGAATTGTACACTTTAAATGGGTGACTTTCACGGAATGAGTTATAGCTCAGTGAAGATGCTACAAGATAACAATTATCAGGGGGATGACAGGGAAGGATCCTCATACTTTAAAAAAGCAAGCCATTCACGAAGAATAAATCAAAGACAAAACTCATCTGCGATTCAGCAAATCCACAAGATGGCACCACAGCTTTGAAAAGCTACCCTCTCTCTTACTCGGAGGTAGGTTTCCAAGAGTCTTGGGTAGGTTTGTTTGTTCATTTTTTTCTTTTTCTAATGTTTAGTGGTTTTTTCCTACAACAAAGATACTGACCCACTGTTTTCCAACTTTGCCCAAAACAAACTCTGTGCAGTGGTGCACGTGAGGATCCACTCAGACAGTGAATAGGAGGAAAATTACAAACCCTGAGTGAAGGGTACTTGGGACAGTCGGGATAGAAATGGGTTTCCCAGGGAATAGCTGCTGGGACGCCAAAGAACTTGGTATACCAGAAAGGACAAACGTGTGTATGCAAATGACCAAGAAAATGCTATAACCAATATGCACAACTGTGATGGGTGCACACACAGACAGTGATTCATTCAGGGGGTGGGCAAGTGTCCAGAGGGAAGGCAGGTAACAAGGAGCCAGAAAGGCCAACTAGACCCCAGAGCAGAGCCCCTCAACCTCTCTGCCATTGGCACACACAACACAACATGACTGGACTGGACACAAGGAGGCTGCAGGAGACGTGGAGCTCATTAAAAAACGCATTCCATAACCTGTTCGTGATCAGAAGTATAGAATACAATGCATACGGGGAAACAGTAAATACTAAGCACATATACCAACTTTAAATATCATCTCAGCCTTTGTAAATGAGATGCTCAAACTTTCATAAACATGACCTTATTTTTATAATACATTCCTATATAAATACATGTAGCTTGTAATCCGAGACTATAAATGGATTGAGGGACATTTTCTATTAAAGCGTTAACTGAGTCTCACTTCAATTACTGTACAAGTTAAAATCAGGTAAAGGATTTACATTTGGGTATCTGAAACCTCCATCTCAGACTTTTGTTTTAACATAATGGATAACTTTAGCACTTCAACAGATACCACCAGCAGGAAAGTTTCTCCTCTATGACTTCAAGTCAAATGGTTTTCATTTTCTATATCACTGTATTGCCACTGCTATCTTCATCATTTTCTAAATGGGACACCTGTAGAGGGAAAAAGCCAGTTCCACCTTAAGTTTATCGTCTCTGGGAGAAGAACACATGTACTGCTTTGAACACAATTTGGCCTTCAGATGTGGCTGAGGTACCACAGTAGTCACCAAAATACCACCACGCTCCACCATGCTTATTGCTTGCAAAAGCAGTACAGGACCCTCCCTATTCCCCCACAGTGGTTCGACACAACAATCAAATTATAGCAGCAAGGACTTGCATTTGATTAATTAGGAATTCTGATATAGCCTGATATGAAAATCAACTCAGGTATCCAACTTGTTTCTCAGATATCTTCTGTCAGAAAAATCACTTGAGATGCAACAACTACTGGAGGCAGGGATCATAAATCCAATTTCTTAGTGGCTTTTGGCAATTTGCATAATTCTAGGGATCTGCAGCACCTAGCTTTTCTTTTATTGAAAAGGTTCAATGCAATCTTTTCTGGGGTTTTTTTGTTGTTTTTTTTTTTTAAAGAGAGGGGGGTCTCACTATGTTGCCCAGGCTGGTCTCGAACTCCTGGGCTCAAGCAATCCTCCTGCCTCAGCCTCCCAAACTGCTGGGATTACAAGTGTGAGCTACCACATCCAGCCTAATTTCATAAAAGGTTTTTTTAGGAAGTTTACATTCTACACTTTCTATTTTTCAAAATCCCAGTGGCATTTTCAACCCAGGATACCAATCCAAAACTAGAAGATGCTTATCATCAAATCCAATATGCCTGGTGTCCTTTCTGATGCAGCAGATATCAGTATTGCCCAAATTGTTAAACTGGAATGTAAACTATCATTTTTTTGTGTCCTGTGAGAAATTGACTTTTGCAAATTTCTTTAACACATCATCCATTTTCAGAATCATCATCTCCTCCGAATGAATCGTCAGAATGACTGCTTTCATTCTCTGAGGGACATTCCTAACCCTGGCTGTCTCCATCACTTAGCCAATCTGCTTCCATCCCACTTGGTGAGCCTTCTTCATGTACGCCATTGGGGCCGCTCCCATTATTATTTTGGTCCTTGCAACATTGTAGGGACCCTTCAGTTTCTTGGGTTCCAGTAGATATTTGCTATATTAGCACATTCTCAAAAGCAGGAGCTTATAGAGTTGATCCTCAGCATTGTGTCTTTGCATAGCTGTAAGACAAGGCTGACTAAAAAGTGAAGAACCCACATGGTGGGTGTAACCTGAGTGCCAAACTTTTCCCTTAGGCAAACAGGAGGAGTCACATGCTCTGTATCTCTGGTCCTGTTGATATTTATTTCAAACACATAATATCCCATTCCATAATGCTATTAAGGTTTTCATCCACAGTAAACATTCTGCGAAGTCTATGATCGTATATAGCCACGTGTTGCTTCACGGCAGGGATACATTCTGAGAAATGGGTTGTTAGGCGAAGTCATTGTCATGTGAACACCATAGAGTGTACTTACATGAACCTAGATGGTACAGCCTACTACACTCCTAGGCTAAAGGGTACAGCCTATCACTCCTAGGCTACAAGGAGTAGCCTTGTAGCCTGTAGAGCATGTTACTCTACTGAATACTGTAGGCAACTGCAACACAAGGTAAATATGTACGTATCTAAACATGGAAAAGGTACAGTAAAAATACAGCATAAAAGATTGAAGAATGGTCCACCTGTATAGGGCACTGGCCACGAATGGAGACTGCAGGACTGGAAGTTGCTCTGGTGAGTGAGCGAGTGATGAGGATAAAGAGAGACCACTGTGTGTCCTTGCAGAGTTATAAAAGACACAGGATCTCATAGGCCCGGGAGCCTCTGCAGAGCCCACCAGCCTCTCCAGGCTCCTGGCTGGGAAGTTGTGTCCCAGCCGTCATCCAGCACCAGAACCACAGCACCAGGGGCCAGAGACTATCTGGGATTTTTAATTCACGTCTATTAGTTTTGAAGATCTAAGGAACACCTTAACAGGTTTCCTTGTTCTTGTTTCTGTCCTTATCAAGTCTGACCTCACAGATTGCAAAACAGCTTCCTTTGTTCTTAGCGACTAATTCTTAAATTTGAAAGAAGCATGGTCTTATGTGCTAAAAAAAAAAAAAAAAAAAAAAAAAATGACATGATCCTTCAAAATCAGTAGCCTAAAATAACCAGCCAAAAAGGTAACCGGGACCTGGCTCCCCAGCAGTCCACAGGCCAGTGGTTCTCAGGGTGGTCCTCAGACTGAGTGAGTCAGAAGTCCCGGCTGAAGCCAGTAATGTGGTTTGTTTTTTTGTTTTTGTTTTGTTTTTTTTTTTTGAGACAGAGTCTCACTGTGTTGCCCGGGCTAGGGTGCCGTGGCGTCATCCTAGCTCACAGCAACCTCAAACTCCTGGGCTCAAGCGATCCTCCTGCGTCAGCCTCCCGAGTAGCTGGGACTACAGGCATTTGCCACCATGCCCGGCTAATTTTTTTTTTCCTATATGTTTTTAGTTGTCCAATTAATTTCTTTCTAATTTTAGTAGAGACGGGGTCTCGCTCTTGCTCAGGCTGGTTTCGAACTCCTGAGCTCAAACACTCCGCCCGCCTCAGCCTCCCAGAGAGCTAGGATTACAGGCATGAGCCACCGCGCCTGGCCAGTAATGTGGTTTTAACAAGCCCTGAAGGTGACTCTGATGCACACTGCGTGGGAACTCCTGCCATAGGCCATACAGCACAGTACTTAAAATCTGTGATCTGAAACCCCAAACTAGAGACATCTGTCACCTCGAGTATGAGTGAAATTTAAAAAGAGAACTGCAGTGCTGTACACAAAGCCGATCTTGTGTTAAAGCAGAGCCCAGCCTGATTTTTCACCTTGGACTTTCTTACCTGGAGGGATATGAAGCCTATATAGCAGTTTGATTTTCTCATTCATTTCTCCATTATACATAACGTCTGCAAAATTTTTAGAGAGAGAGAGAGAGATTGAGTTGATGCAAATGGTTCGAGCACATCTGTCATGACACAAACTCACCGTGGAGAGAGATCTCAGTAAGGTCGACACCTGCCACCCTAACTCCCCTGCCCCACACACACACCCTGTTAGCAAAGAAATGTTAAAGGCCCAGGCTAGTGAGTGTGTGAGCCACAAGGAAACCTTGTGAATCTTGTCTGGCCTCGTACTTTCTGAAAGATTTTAATTTTATGGACTAAAGGTTAAAAACGTGGCTCCCAACAAGCCCCCCCACCACCACACCCTGGTCATCAAGGACAACGAGGTGAATGGCCTCGTATGTTAAAAGCCTGGGCCCCTCTCCCCACCCCCACTTAAGGAAGCATAGACGTGGTCCTGGGAGGAGCCCATAGGGTGACATTTCAAAATCTCGGAATCACAAAATCACGTGAGGCCAGTCACAAAAGTGTTTCACTGTGCACATCTGCCTGCCCCCACGCTGCACTCTGTCCCCGGCTCACTGACTCCCACCCACGTCAACTCCCCGCAGTAAGACCCAGAGTCATACCCAGACAGCCCACAAACGCTCTGAATTCGATGAGCTGGTCCATGTTGTCATCCAGGAGCCGGAAAGTCCTTTCAGCGAGGATCCCCGTGTGGGCCCCGCAGGTCCAGGGCGAGACCAGCTGAAACAGGTGTGCAAACTGCCGGGCGTCTATGCGGTACTGCTCGGCGTAGGGCCTGCTGGGGTCGTGGCGTGGGGCCACAGGCCAGGGCTGCTCCCAGTAACAGCTCATCATGTGCTCTCTCTTAAAACAAGAGCGAGAGAGGGCTGTGCCACACAGCAGTGCCACGGGAGGCTGCGTGGAAAAGAGTCAAGGCCGGCGCATCCACTCTCATGGCCCGCCTCACCTCTTACAGCACTGCTTGTCAAATAAGCAATGTTGCAACACTGTATTCAACTACTCACCACCTCACCACTCCAGCCAGACCTGGAAAAGTGTTTCCTTGTTACCCTATAGTCCCTGCCCACGTGAATATGTAATTTTCACACCTTTTTCTTTCCTTTGTTATTAAGGTTTCTTTTTTTCTCATTGTAGTAAAATACGCAGCACATAAAATTTACCATTCTAACCACTTTCAAATGTACAGTTCAGTTGACAGTTTTAATTATAGAAGACACAGTTTTCATTCTGATATTTTCACTTAAAATCGTATTATTTGAAAATCAAAAAGGACTAGACAAATCTACAGGATACAAAAGGAACAAAGGACATTGGTTTTACTGCATATTTTTATAATTTCTGAATTTTGAACATGAACATATTAGCACTTTTTAAAATTAAAAACAAAAAAAAAAAGGCAAGTTGCAGTCTTGAGAACAGACTGAAAACTAACACAATCGAAACTGGTCCTGCCACTGAGAACCAGGTCAGCCTCTTCAGAATGCATCATTTACACCCACACTAGAGCACCTCCTTGGACATCTCAACTCACAAAGGCCTGAAATGGTTCCCAGGGACTCCAGGGTTCTGTACAGCATCAAGGCCCTCTGTCCGGAGAACAGGACCGAAACAAGCGCAGATGCTGCCATCTGCAGCGCATGTCCTTGAATGAGCCAGAATGCCATTTATACTTCTGTGGTCATACTCACTGCAGCTACGTTGTTTAAATAGCCATTACACAATCAAAAAACGCACCACAAGAACTTTTAAGTGTGAAACAAAGATCTAAAAAATTTCTTTTCCAAAAAGACCCAAGGCGCGCTAGGAATCTCCATGCATATTGGTGCACGCTGTCATGCTAAAGGCCCGTAAACGCAGAAGAGCGTGGTTGTGATACGCAGGCTAAGGACTAAGACAGCTAGTTCACAGGGTCCCACAGAAAACAAACCAGTATAAAAACAGGCAAAGGATATGAACGGGTGATTCCACAAAGTATACAATTAGCCAATAAACTCATGAAATGGTACTCAACCTCATTAATGAGTAAACAAGTTTAAATTAAAATGAAATCCAATTTTCTACCAGACTAGCAAAATTTTTAAAGATCCATGATATTAAATGTGGGGCAGGTGCGCAATGTGGGAAAATGAGCCTTCGCAGATACCATCAGTGTGATGGTAATTTGAAAAATCAAAAATACTCAATAGCAGTATCGACTAAAATTTGGTATGTACATCCCCCATGACCTGACATTTTCACCTGGAGGAGCCCATTCTACAGAAACAGCAGGACTGGTGTCCGGATAAATGCATAGGGTGCTCAGTGTGATGCTGTTTATACAGTAGCAACACCTGGAAACAACACAAATGTCCCTCAACAGGTGGGTGATCAAATAAATCATAGTTCAGCCCTACAAGGAAACTGTGCAGTCTCTAAAAAAGCATAAGAAAAGATCTGTAGATACTGATCTAGAAAAAAGTCCATGATATATGGTCAACTGAAAAAAAAAAAAATTGCAGGCCACTATGTATAGCACAATCTTACTTTCATGTGAGGGAAAAGGTGGGTGTTTGTATGTATATATTGTATGCATGTGTGTATCTACAGATGGTATAACATAAGGGGGAATCAGGCAAGATATTAACCATATTATTAATAGTAAATACCTGTGTGAGGTAGGATCATAGTAGCATAAGGTAAGGCCCTTTCATTTCTTGCTTAAAAGTTTGTTTTTCTTTCTTTCTTTAAATTTTTTGTAGAGACAGGGTCTCGCTATGTTCTCCAGGCTGCTCTTGAACTCTTGGCATCAAGCGATCCTCCCACCTTGGCCTCCCAAAGTGCTGGGATTACAGGAGTGAGCCCCCACACTGGCCTATTTTTCTTTTTGTTATGGTAAGAGTATAATTTTGGTAAGGTTTATAATAATGGTAAGGTACAGTTTTATTTTATGTTTTCAATTAAATTTTGAAAACAAGTCTTAAGAAGAAAGCAAAATAATATTAACGAGACCAAGTGCTCTCTAAAGCATAGCAATCAGCAACAGTAGATGAATATAGCTGAACGTCAGTAAGAACATGTCTGTGGAATCCATAAGGCACCATTTCAGGTCCTGAGTGTCTCCAGGAGTAGCTTTTGGGACTGAGTCTATATTTATACTGTACACATCTTACTTGAAAGGGAAGGAGATGTCACAAATCTGAATTTACATAATTTAAAGGACTGCTTTAAACTAACAATAAATTTCATTAAGTACCAACCACACTGTTCATCTTCAATGGGAAGAGTATTTAAAGAAGCCAGTCAGAGCTGACTATGGTGTACTGACACAGAGAATGGCCATGCCTGTACACTCCAGGTTTAGGGAAGGATGGAATGAAGTAGAGGAATGGACTCCTTAGGAAGAACCTATCACACATTTATATTAATAAAACAGTGTAGGGGTTTTTCTACGTGTCTCTTTCTCATGAGAAAATGAAATTCTGATTCAAGAGACAGGAGGTGCCTCTAAATACTCCTTCCTATGAAACATGAACCATGTGGTTGGTACTTAAAAAAATTCATTTTTATTGTTAATTTAAAACCATCCATTAAATTACATAAATTCAGATTTGTGATGTCTCCTGTTCTCTCAACTTGAGAAAAAGTAGCCCTAAATAAATAAAAGTTAAAAATAATAAAACAAAACAACAGATCATTTGTTTCCCTGCTTTTATGTTTCTAGTATTCCGTTTTCCCTTCTGGAAAGCCAAAGAGAGGTTGGGGGTTGGGACACGAAGTAACCTTTGACTTCGTGTATGTTGTCTCCACGCAACAAAGGAAACAATAAAACTTGCAAACAGGCAATGTTTATGGGAGGCGAGGACCAGCTTGCGCTCACCACACATCCTGCTCATTAGGAGTGAGGCTGCCAGGAACCCACTAACACACCAAACCACTGCAGTGACTTCTGGGACAGGCCCGAACCAGGCACGAAGGCAACCAGGCCAGGCCTGCTTTGTGCAACTGTGCTTGCTGCCTGCCCTCTGCCAGGGTGGCAAGAGGGGACCCTTGTGTCTGCCTCTCCTCTTCATTTTCATTTACTGTTTCGAGTCAGAAAACTTCCAGTGAGATGCCTAAAGAGGCTCTTCATGGGATGATTTAAGTAGCAAAACCTAGAACTCCATGTAAATATCCAAATATTCGACATCTGCTTTACTATGTTAAATGTTACCAATATTATAGATCAGAGTTATCCAAAAATGATTGAGACTACGTGGTAACATGGGAGAGTGTTAACAACAGCATTGAGGAAAAATATAACATCAACTAGCATGCATACCCACCACGCAAATACAAAAATATGCATACGTGTATCACGGGGTGCATGTATTGTGGGCTGGGACCACACATAATTAAAAAGTATACCAGGTGATGATTCCAGTAAGGGTCGCTGTTTCATCTCCCATGGACTAGGAACCCAGAGCTCATCAGGACAGTAGGGAGCAGCGACCTCTCAGCAGCGGGCAGCAGCTTCAGCGCCTGGGCCGAGCCAGGCTGCAGGGCTGCCCAGGAGCACCCCAGCTCCCTCCTCCCAGATGCCAGGCGGGGTGCTGGTTCCAGGGCGGAGGGAGAGGGTGAGAGGTTCTGGGTAGAAGCGAGTGGGTGAGGTTAAGACAGAGCTGACGGGCAGGGCAGCTCCAGCCTCCCAGAACAGGCACACGGCAGAGCCTGCAGCAGCCACACTCACCCCAGGCAGGATGGGCACAGTGGCTTGGGCCGGCACCTCCCTCATCTTCCCAGATTTTCATACCTTGAATAAGTCGTAGAGTTCCTCTAGGTCTTCAGGAAGAATTGAGACTTCTGGGATAACAACTCGGAGCTTAAGGAAAAAATAAACAGTGATAGAGAGAATTCTAGGCCTGCACCCCTGGAGACATCAGAGGGAGGCGAGGACGCCCCTCCTGGTGAGGAACAAGGACCCGTGTTCCCCGCTTCCGCGTGCAATGGCCCCTATATGTGACATAAAGATTACTTTCCAGTATCTTTCTCAGGTATTTCACCCTCAACGTCTTTCCAAGTCACACAGCGGTGCCTTAGGACAAACGTATTAACCTCTGACAGAGGCTAAAAAGCTGGCAGAACTACAGTGTGGGCAGGAAGAGCCTTCTGAACAATAACAGCCCCCGCTGTAGGCCATCTGTGCCGGGCACTTTACACACCACACCTCATTAGTCCTGCACGGTGGGGACTGTTATCCCCACTGTACAACCGGGGAAACTGAGGCTCACGGTGGTTAACATGCTCACAGTCTGATTCCAAAAACCCTTGCTATTTCCACCCTATGTCACCCCTAAGTTTTTAATGCAATGCAAAAAAAAAAAAAAAAAACAAGCTGGCATTCTCATGTCATGTGACCAAAAGGGACATGCGCTCCTGGGATAGCTCCTGAATTCTGTGAGCACTGCTGTGAGGTGTCCTCTACTCACCACGTTCTGCTTTGTGGTGTCCTCGTGGCCTTGGAGGACCCTGATCCTGTGCTTACAGCGCAGGTGCTCGATCTGCTCCACAGACTGGTCTCCAAATTTCTGCAGGGAAACGGGGGACCACTCGCTCACAGGGGCCCCCGCTGTGTCCAAACAGAGGAAATAGAAGGTGGCCCAGGAAACTTCCCTCTACATCCATCTCTTGAGAGGGTGAGGGGCCGGGGCATGGGGCAGGAGCTCCCCTTACCTCATAAGAGTCCCGGATCAGGTCAGCAATGTCAGTCACAAGGTAGGGCTCCTGGTCGTCAGAGAAAAAGGCATGGTGGCTGCCAATTGGTGGCCCCGGGCTATCCTCATTCTTGATGTGATCTAGAAACCTGAGCACACCACCCAGTCAAAGCCCAGGATCCTCACCCAGGCACCCCACAACACCCACCACCTTCACAGGCACTAAACATGCCTGAGCACCTGCAAACACCAACACTGGGAGGAGGGCAAGGCTGCTTAGAAAAAGGGACAGACAGCCACAAAGCCAGGCTTGTCTTTTGGACTCCATGTGTAGGTTTCCAGGGGGCTGAAACCCTCCAGTAAAGTAAGCACAAAATTCTGTGCATACATGCAATTTTAAGCTTCCATGCTATTCTGAAAGAGAATGTCCTCTTTAAACGTCATTCAACTCGCCCTCAGCTCCTAGAGAGCTGGGTTTTAGCACTCATCCTAGCGTGACTTTTCCTTCACTGCAGCTCACCATCCCTACACATAAAATGTCTGAACCCCCCAGCTGGCTGCCCGAGGCTCACATTGCCTGGTGTCCCCTCAGCCCCATTCAGGGCCACTGTGAGTCCACCCAGCTGCAAGATATTCAATCTTCTGAGAGAAAAGCATGTATATCCCTCCTCTTCCTGGACCCTCTCACCCAACCCCACCCTGGGGGAGCCACAGGGTGACAGCTGGCGAGAGGCAGAGTGGAACAGAAAACTGCCACAGCAATGGCACGGCTGGGCACCTGCGGCTGCCTCCTCCTGCGGTCCTCCAGAGTCCCAGCTGTCTCCTTCGTCCCCAGGTAGCCACGGAAGCATGTGGCAGAGCCCACCTGCTGAGGACCATCAAGGCCTGGCCGTCGTCCCTGCTGCCACACAGCTCCTCGGCGTTGGCTTCCAGCACAGCCAGCCCCAGCTGGAAGATGGCTTTGATCCCATCGTAGAAGAAACAATCTACGACATTCACTGCACTCTCCAGAGGCATGATGCTGAGGAACAGAGTCAGAAACCACGAGAGAGAGATGGACGCCAGGGCTGAGAGGTCGTTCATGTGCTCCGCCAGCTCTGGGAGGTGGTCCTTGATGAGCTCCTCGAAGACAGACTGATCCACTTGCGCCCCTGGAAAAGGAAGGCCACGGAGCGCTGGTTGGGGCAGGACTCAAGTTGGAATTAAAATTACTCTGATGAAACTAGAACAATGAAACAAAATTTGAGTCCAGAAAAGTACTCACACTTAGTTCGTTATTTTTGACATTGTGACCAAGGTAATTCTACAGGTAAATGATACTCTTTTCAAAAAATAGTGCCCAATCACCTGGATATTGGCATGGGATGGGGGGTGGGAGGGGGGAAGAAACCCAAACCTTTATCTCACACTATATAGAGAAATATATTTGAAATGAATTAGTGACCTAAATATAAAAGCTAATACTGTAAACAACTTCTAGAAGAAAATATAGGCAAAAGGCAGAATTTCTTGGGACATAAAAAGTACTAAGCATAGAAAAAATTACAAACTGAACTTCATCAAAATTAAAACTGCTGTTCTTCAAAAGACACAACTAATAAAATGAAAATGCAAGCTTCGAGCTTGGGAGAAATATTTACAATGCATATATTGACAAAAGTCTGTTATCCAACATAAAGAACTCCCTTTGACTTAATAAGAAAGCAACAACCAATTTTTCTTAAATAGGCTAAAGATCTGAACACTCAAATGAAATGATAAACAAATGGTTAGCATCCATAGGGAAATATGTTCAACATCATTAATCACCAGAGAAATAAAATTTAAAACCACCATGATGTATACCACTTCTTATCCACTAGAATGGCTAAAATTAAAAAGACAATACGAAGTGTTGACAAGGATGTGGAGCAACTGGAACTCTCAAACACTGCTGGTATGAGATATATAAATACCTTACATCCATTTTGGAAAACTGATAGTTTCCTATTAAGTCATATATCTGACCTATGACCCAGCAATTCTACTCCTAGGTAAATACTCAAGAAAAATGACAGTTTATATTCCCCGAAACACTTATTTGTGCATGTTCATTGGTACTTTATCATATTCCAAAACTGGAAACAACTCGAATGCCCATCAACAGGTACTGGACAAGCAGATCCTGCCATGACTGCACAGCGAACTACTGCTCAGCAACAAAGAGGGGCAGACTACTGCTGCACCCACAACGTGGATGCCTCTCACAGTTACGACGTTGTGTGAAGGAAGCCAGACACAAACGACTACACTCTCTATTGTCACATTTACACAATGTTCAAGAGTAGGCCAAGTTAATCTATGAGGATAGAAATCAGTGCCAAGTGTTGCCTATGGCAGGGAAGAGGCAGAAGGGAAATTTCTGATGGAAATGTTCCAAATGTTCCATCCTGTCTGGAGGTGGTGATCACCCACTATCACGGAGGGTCTAGCTGGTCACTGCCGAGTATGAGCTGTCACACAGCAACATTCATCAAACAGTGGCTTTGACAATGGCCTAGACAACATGCTTCTTGGTGACACCCAGGTTCTGATTATTTCTTGCTACTTTGGACCTTGCACCACCTCCCACAACAAAGTGAGAAGGGAAGGGAGTCTACGAACCCCCTGTCCAGGGGGCACAAAGCTGTCACCGCCGTCCCAGCCAACCACACCCACCCACCAGCCCTGCCTTCCTCCCAGTGGTCATCACGTCCCTCAAGTCTCAGGACACAGTCTTCACAAGCACCTTCCTGCCTTGCCCGATACATCCAGTCAGTTGCCAAATTCTGTCTCAAATTGGTTCTTTTGTTTCTGTTCGCAAGCTGCCACCCTAATTTTAGGCCGCCTCTATCTCTCACCTGGATTACTAAGAAGTGTCCTTAAGAGGATCACCAACCCCAGGTAACTTTTGTTTTGTTTTGTACCGCATGTTCAAATCTCAACCACATGAAAGACAGAGGCACCAGTGCGGGAGCGTAACAGGGCTGTAGGTTTACCCAGAGCCCAGAAAGCAACAAACGTGTTTTCCTACGATCTCCTGATGGAAGTGGGAGGCTCTTCCATGTCTGTCCTTTAATTGACAGTGCAGGCCTCGAGGGTCTCCAGCACCGACCCACTCACCTCCCCTCCTCTAGTGACAAAAGCTCCCTGGGCTACTGAGAAGAATCCCACCACCCCCAACCCCTTCCAGGCCATGGCATCAGCACAAACCACTCTGGCTTTCACTTTTTGACTTGTTTCTTGGACCTGAGGATCTTCCTGTTCTTATAAGTTTGGCTGTCCCTCTAAAACCATTTGTTTGTTTGCTTGTTTTCAATCCAAAATCTGTAAGGTGTGTAGCAGGACTGTACTTGGATTACCTTGGCCCACCATGTGGCCAGAACTGAGCAGAGAATTACAGTACCCAACTTAGTTTTGCAAAGTCAAGAGTCAAACCGTGCTTGTGGAGAGACTAGCTCAGTGGGATGTTACAAACAGGACCGATGGTAAATGTCTTGCCCAGGCCTTGTCACTGTTTCCCAGACACAGAGGAGGAGGAAGGGAGGTGATTTACCGATCACTCGGTGGTTGAAGTAATCGGGCAGCATCCGCTCACACACGGCGACCAGCAACCAAAAGGCTTCCTCCTCCTTGGCGTACAGCAGCAACACGGAGGTCAGGATGTTCATGGACTGCTCGGGGGGTCAGAGGAGGGACAGTTACCAGCCAGTCCACCTGACGCCACAGAGGCATTAAGAACACACAAGCCTGAACGATACGCAAAAGTACAGGTTTTGTAGGTGAGAGGTGCAGCACACCCCAACCATACTGACAACTGGGAAGTGGAATGACCATGACCTCAACACGGTCCTGACAAGACACACCTGTCTGAACACGGGACACCCTTCAGTCCCCATCTAGTCATGTGGGATTCAGCCGTGGTGCAAGTCTCAGGCTTGGATCAAATCCAGCTACTCCCTGTGTGTGTTCAGACAGATACACACGCCTCGCCCTGCCCACCTTTATTCACCCATTGATTTTGCTTATTCACAGGAAAGCAAAGTTTGGATCCTTAAATGTTTAAATGTCAGAAGCTTCACTAAGCCAGTCTTGTGTTAGCTAAAATAGCAGCAGCAAAAACCTGAGTTTCATTTTGTTTTTGCTGACCATGTCCCTCAAGTCAGGACCACTCAAAGGACATCATCTTACCTCCTGAAGGAAACTGATCAGCCCTGATCATCTTTTTCCTGCCCAAGCACATTGCCATTTTAAATAACCCCCATAATTCCTGTCGAGGTTTGGAAGCCCTACAAATCCCATCCTGTGGCTGAGTTGGACAGGGCAGGGAAGCCCGAATCTGCCCTGCTGCCCGTGCACCATCTCTCTGCACGGACGCTGCTCTTTTTGGGCACTGGGTAAATTTTTAAATGTCAAATTATCAGCCTGTCTGATGATCCAAAGATGATTTCCTCTGGCCCTTATTCAATACGTTCTTTCAGGGAAAGGAACGAGCACGGTGCCTTCACACGACAGCTCTCGGGGCTGGGCATGGAACCAGGCGCTGGGAGGGTGAACGAGCAGCACAGAGTGGGGGTCTCCGCGCCTGGTGCACACTTCACCTGGCAGTATCCGATCTTGGGGTTCCGGTGGGCGTAGGCTGTCAGGACTCTCCTCAAGGCAGCGATCCCCGTTTCATTCTGGAAGGCGGGGTGCTCAGGCAAGGAGCGGTGCAGGTCCCGCTCTATCTCCTCCGTCACCAGGCAGCATTTCCCCAGGGACTCCTCCACCAGGTTCCCGTAGTAGCCGGGGTGCGTGGCGAGATCCGTCCCGGCATCTGAGTGTCAAAAGCAATGTTTCGAGGGGGAGTGATTACCAGGGTAGCATCATGACGGGGAGGGGGCCCGTCCTGTCAGGGGACCCCACGGAGTCATGCTACTTATTGAGGGACACAAAATATTTTGGGAACACACACCACCGAAAGGAATTCATTTCTGCCACGTGGCCTAGTCCGAGAAACAGAAAAGAGAACGGAAAAAAAGAAGTAAGGTGGCTTTTCTAAGAATGACCTTATAGAGAGGGAGGTGGAAAAGGGTCCTAATAAAAATAATTTTAGTAGTATGTTTTCAGTAAGCTGTATTCCCTGGTAACAGGAGAAGCATACACACACACATACACACACAGCTTTCGTGCATTAACTCAACAAGAAATTACGTGGAGCGCCTACATGTAAAGCACGAGAGAAGGACCAGCTGTGATGCAGCAAAGCTGACAGCTACAGAGGGGCCAGCCCGGAACTCTGAAGGTCGGGTTTCCTGCACAAACCACAGCAGGAAGACCAAGCACAGAAAATTCCTCCCCAGGCCAGCCGACCACTGCCAGAGCCACTGCCCAGGCCTCTACCAGGCAGGCGAGATGGAGGGACAGAGGCAGGAGCACCAGGTTCAGACTCTACCGCTCATCAGCCAGCACCAGGCACCCATGGGCTCGGGCTCAGCCCTCGCTGGGGCTGGCAGCGAGGCGGGGCTGAGGGCAGCAGGGAGCAGAAGGGGGCCCAATTCTGCCTTTAACCACTAGTCAACATTTTGAAATTCTGCTGGGGGTAGTAAAACACGCTCCTCGGCCGTCCGGCCTGCAGTCGCTGCCTGTGACTCCCACCTGCTCTGCTGCACAGTGGCTGTGGCATCCACGTTTGACAACCAGCGTTTACGCTAAAAGCTGTCACTTGTTCAGCAACAGCTTAAACACTACAGTGATCTTCCTGTCAACAAAGGATACATTTGCTCACTGGGAAAGATAGTCCCATATAAACTCAGGATCATGTAGTCCCATGTGAAAATATGAAAACACGGACCCATGTGCAAAGTGTGTACGTACGACAGGGATCTAGAAGACCGTAGGCTAAGGGTGACAGGTGTCACCTCCAGGAGGACGATGAGAAATGTTACTTTGTTTGCTTGCCCATCCATACTCTTATTTTCCAACTATGAATATACGTATTTTATTATGTACAAAAATACAGAAGACATTTTTAATTTTAAAAAGGAAGCGCTTTGATGGTGTGTCTCTGGTAGGCGGCAGGTGCCTCGGCACAGGCACAACGGCGCGAGACGCCAATGCCATTGGGTGTGCGGAAAGCACGGAATCCGTGTCTGCGCGTCTCGGGCAGGAGAGGAGACGAGAGGGGTTATTTTGGGGGCAGATGGGGAGGAGAGAGGAGAGGGATAATGGAGGCCTGAGGAACCAACATGAGGCTGGCATGAGGCAGGATGAGGGAAGGTTCTGATCCCAGGAGGAGTGAGCGTGGAGGGGACAGGTACACAGGCCCAGCCTCCGGGAGCCTCGCTGCTGACACGAGCACCACAGGGTCATCTGGGAAGGGCCCCCTCACCATGCCTCCCACAGCACCCCGAAACGAGCAGCAAAGTCACACGGTCGGATGGCAGGGGCCTTCCCTTCCCGCCCCCGGGGTTCCCAGCTCCTTCACCAAGCAGGACACACCGCTCACAGGCCACGTGGAGAGACAGACGATGCCCACTCAGGAAGTCTCGGGAAGTCCGGCCCCATCAAGAAACGTCCCGGTGAGGGACTCTCAGACATTAGCCAACAGCGGCAGAGGAGGTCCCGCCACCGAATGGGTCCGGCGGTGGAGGAGGAGGAAATGGAACAGGAGAGAAGTCTGCAATTTTGCCTCGTGGCCGCCACGTCTTCAAGGAGGAAGGACCCATGAACCACGCTCTGAGGATGTGTTTCGACACACGGCCAACTACGTCTGAGGATCCTTTTGTCTAGTCTGTCTCAGAGGGCACATCCTATAAAGACACTTCACTTCCAGAGACTACTGAGCGCTACGTAGAAACTCATAAAGTCGTTTTTAAAGGAAGAGAGATCACTTGGCCCAGACCTCGCATTTACTGAGCAGCCCAGAGGCCGCAGGCAACCTGACCAAGTCCCACGGCCAGCACAGTAAGTGCTCCCAAGTCTCCGGCTGGGAATGCACAGGAACGATCCAAAGATGGATGCCTTCGTCGGCATGTACGCACACTGCTCAGATTAGGGCTTCTTCCTGCATCCACTCCAAAAATAACAACATTTGGCCTAAAACACCAGAAACACTTGCCTGAGAAAAGGAGCCAAAGTCTTCCACGTAAAGATTCAGGGATCCCCATGGCTACAAGCTTCCGAATCTTCTCTGTGCGAAACATACACACGGTTCTGCCATACTCCACAAAGTGGTCGTTCCACAGGCTTACTTTTATCTGTTCTCTGGACTGGAAATGGAAACATTCTTACTGTACAAAGCAGCCCAGCCTCACCTGCCACCAGAGCTGACGCATGACCCACAATGGAGGAAGCGCTGCCTCTGTGAACAGAGAGGCCAGTGGTGACAGGCAACGACACCTGTACTCAAGAGCAAATAATTTTGAACCCCTAACTAGACACAGAGGATGCAAAGATGAATAACACAGAATACCAGCCTCCCAGGAGCTCAGAACCCAGTGGGAGTATTCACAGAAATAAAATGCAATTTCCTTGACAAGGTTGATAATCGTACTATGTCAGTCCAAATACTAAAGTAGCCCAAATTGGGTGGAAGGGGGATGGGGACGTCAGGGGAAGCTTCCTCAGGATGTCACTGCCAAGGCAGCTACTAAAACTCAGGTCAGCTCAGAGGGCAAAGGGGAATAAGAGAGCATCACAATTTGCCCTGAGCTTCCTGACAGCCAAAGGGAAAACCGAAACCTGAAAAAAATTGTTGTTCTCATTAACAGAAATGAGAAAGATATCATTTCTCTAGGCAACCAACAATACTTAAAAATTATCCCTAGATGGCAGGAAAGTCTGATGCCTTTAAACGAGATATTTATATTTGCTTTTAATTATCTGTATTCTCCAGGAATGGGAGAAATAAATACACACATTCAATATTCTCATGCATTTAGTCAATAAGAGTTAATTAAGCATCTATTTGTAAAGCCATGTGAGAAGGCTCAGTTTTGGATAAATAAAGCTAACAATCAATCTACAGGAGCCATTAAGCAACCAAAAATAAGCTTGGAGTAATAATATTCAAAGCCACTGACTGGTACTCATGGTACAACATAGCATCCCACCTGCCGTGGCTCTATTTCAAAGTATAATTTCCAGTCACTTTACCCGACTGTATGTGACATTTGCCTCAAATTCTCCCTACAAAGAAGAAAACTGTAAGTAAATATAGAAAAAGTATTTTCAGTAAAACTAGAAGACAGGTGACCTTTTGTCCCAGAGACAAAAGAAAGGAGACAGACTTGTCCTATACCTGGAAACCACACAGGGCCACACTGCAGGCTCCTAGGGCCGCGCAGCCAAGAGCCACTGCGGGGCAGGTGGGGAGGATAACCCCCTTAGTCCCCTGACCAAGTCAGCAGACCCCTTTCACTTTTCACCAATGAGGACAAGAGGGAGGAGAAGCTCTAGCTTCCCAAGGTCACCTGGCAACCTGTGACAACCCGCTCCCCCAGGGCCCTACAGAGCTGGCGTGAACGGGTGCCATGTTCCACAGCTGGTCAGACATCCTGGCAACCATTCATGCCCACGGCTCCACACTGGGGGGCCAGTAAGGGCAGAGCCACCTCACCTACCATTCCGGAGTCAGGACTCTGGCCACCCGACTGCTGGAAGACGGTGACCAGGGCATCGGGGTGCAGCAGTGGGCTCTTCTCTTTCCCATTCTCCTCACTATTTTGAGACGACACCATTTCAAGATCCCCAAACCTGTGGTCACTGCATATGCTTGTCGAATAAAACACAGGTGAAGTCTGCATAGCAAACAAAAAAAAGAGAGAGAGAGAGATAAAGAAGAAAGTCATTGCTTTAATCACGGGACAGTCTGTTTTGCCTTTGGCTGCACAAGCATAACAGACTTAAACTACTCAAGGGGGAACAGACTAACTATCAAACCCAACAGGATTCGATCCTCGGGAAGAAATGGCCCCACAGTGTTCTCCCGGGGAGGCTGTCACGGCTCCCAGGGCTGGGTCCTCAGGCAATTCCTCATGGGCAGCCTTGGCCACCCTTCAGCTTCTGGAACTGGGGACGACGACCTTGAGAAAACAGCTCTAGGGACGGAGAGGCTGCGTCTCCTTTTCTCCCCATCACTACTTAGGGTGAAAAGCATTGAGAAAGACGATGCATGGGAAGAACAGCAGGCTAGGCCCCAGCAGCTCAGCCGCCCAACCTAAAGGATGATGAAGCTTCTCTTTCGGCAGGTTACGGCTGCCCTGAAATGATGTCATCCCCTTGAGCCTCAGGGGCGGAGTGTCAACCCCTCTAACCTGTGAGGAGGGTGTCACGGGTTAACTCCTCCAAGCTGTGGGGTGATTCCCCATCACCCCCCTAATCTGTGCAACACCCACTCAGGACACCAGCGTATCAGACGTGATACCAGACTAGACACAGCCCAGTGGCCTCTGCCATCGTCTTCTCCCGGGTGAACCTCCTTATGTGCACCCCCTTTGGAGACCACTGCCCCAGACACGGCCAGAAAAGGGATTTTCAGCATATGAAATCTCACTGTTTCGAAGGACCATACCACATCGTCATTTGTGGAGGTGTCATAGTGCACGGGGTGGTTGGCGTGGACCTGCTTCAGCCTCACGAGCAGACCCTCCACCAGGCGGTCTCTGTCCTTGAGCTCGATGAACTGGAAGGCCATCTTGCTCCTGATGCTGACGATGATGGGGTGAGGCAGCAGGCTCGTGTCCTCCATCTTCTCGATGCTCACCACCTGTTGCCAAGACAGGATGGCAAGAAGGAAGGAGGGTCAGAAACTATCCCAAGATAGAAGGCAGCACCAAACAACTGCAATAAGAAACTGATGCCAAAGTTAGAAAATGTACACGGTGGCATTATTCACCATCCCCAAAGCGAGAAGAAGCCCGAGCGTCCGTTGACAGATGAATACATAATAAAATGCAGTCTGTCCATACAGTGGAATATTATTCAGCCTTAAAAATGAAGGAAATTCTGACACATGCTACAACACGGATGAGCCTTGAGGACATTATGCTAAGTGAAATAATCCAGTCACAAGGACAAATATTGTTTTGAATCCTCTTATGCGAGGCACCTAGAGTAGTCACATTCATGGACAGAAAGTAGAATGGGGGTTGACAGGGGCTGAGAAGAAGGAGGGGAGCTGTTGTTTAATGGGTGCACCTTCAGTTTGGGAAGACAAAAAAGTTCTGGAGATGGATGGTGGCAACGGTGACACAGCAGTGTGAATGCACTTACTGCCACTGAATCGTGCACTTTAGATGGTTAAAATGATCATTTTTTGTTATGTATATGTCACCAGGTAGCTCCTGGACTTCCTGCTCCCCTGATAAGTAAGCGTCTTTGTAAAATGAAGGCATCTACTACAGAATAATGACGTGGAGGTGGGCAATCACATGAATAGAAGAGTTCTGAATTTTTCCAGAGAGCAGAACTCAATACCTATGTTACAAGGAGCAGTCTGGAGGTCTGGCAGAGTTGTGGGTAGTATCTCAGTAGAGGTGCCTTGAAACCAAAGGACTGAGATGCTCAGACCTAGAAGTAAAGGCAGGTTTCCCCCATTTCCAAAAAGAGAATTATAGCATTTTATAGGGGGAAGGGATCTGAGCCACACTAGAGAAAGTATTTTAAAATGTTTAACTGAAGTTCCAGGAGAGTATAAAAGCCAAGCAATTTACCATTTATTTTCAAAAGGTGGTGCTTTTTGTAGATCACCTTTTTTTTTTTTCTTTTTTTAGTAGGTGAAAGGGGAGGATTCATTTCCAAGAGCTGCTAGGAAAGCTTTAATTTCTAGGCATATACTTTTTAATAACAGCTTTATCAACAATGTGGGGGGTAGAGTACCCTGTTTTCACCAATCACTTCTAGGCAGATTTCAGGTTGCCATAGCAACAACAGGAAAAGCGATGGCCAAATGGGTAGCGGTCCAGTTCAGGCCATACTTCCCTCGAGAAGCCCAGCCATCTAGTCACCTATCTTTAGGTGGCAAAGCCATGCGGTCTGAACATCCCCTCCCACACTGCATCTACGAGCCAGCAACTGTGGGCTCAAAGGATGACAGACTGTTTCTGGAAGCACCCAGGAGGGCAGTGTCTACCTCTCTGAGTGGCAGGACGACCTTACAGCAACCGTCTTCTCTGCTGGCAAAGCAGATGTAGCTGTCGGAGGAGAACATCCGCCCCGCAGTGTGGCAGCGACTGAACGGCGTCCAGAGGGAGCAGTCCACGACCGCGTGCAGCTTCTCCTGCCTCGGCAACCTGAAGAACGCCCGGAAGAACTCATTCTGCGCTCTGGCTTCAAGGTCCCTAGGGAAAGAGGAAGAGAGGATAAGAAGAGGCAGGAGAGGTGAGTGGACACTTGACATTACAAAGGAAAATACTTTTCAATCCACGGGCACACCCTGACATTTAAGAGAATGCAGAAAGGACGTGCGTGCCTCCAGTGCCGTGCAGGAGCTTCACGTGCTCCGGCTGCACAGCCAACCCTCAGGACAAGCACCAAGGGCAGAACGTGCTGCTTCTGCACAGAAGGAACTGAATGAACTCATGGACCAAAATAAGCTTTCCTTCCCGCTTTGAGCAGCATTGAGAATTACCACAAAAATAACTGCGAAAGAGAGTCCAAGTATCAAAAAGTCCAATGAGAACAAGTGGTGGCGAGGATGTGGGGAAACTGGAAGCCTCGTACACTGCGGGTGGGAATGTTAAAGGATGCAACCACGTCGGAAAACAGTCTTTCAATACCTCAAAAGGTTAAAAACGGTCTTACCACTTGACCAAGAAATCCCACTTCTAGGTATATATACTCAAGAGAATGGAAAACGTGTCCACTCAAAAACCCGCACACTGATGTTCACAGCAGCATTATTCCTGATAACTAAAAGGTGGAAACAACCCCAATGTCCACAAACTGATAAATGGATAAACAAAATGTGGTATATCGACATAACAGAAAATTATTCAGCCATAAAAAATGAAGTACTGATGGATGCTACATCAGGGGTGAACCTTGAAAACACTATGTTGAGTGAAATAAACCAAACACAAAGACTACATACTGTCTGATTCAGTGTACATGAAATGTCCAGAATAGGCAAATTTACAGACAGAAAATAATTAGTGATTGCTCAGGGCTTGGGGGAAAAGGGAGCAATGTGTAGTGAATGCTCGTAAGTACGGGGTTTCTTTTGGGAATGATGAAATGTTCTACAATGGATTGTATTGATGGTTGACAGCTCTGCATATATAATAGTCAAAACCATTGAATGCTATGCTTTGAAAGGGTAAATTATACGGTATGTGAATTAAGTATGAAAAAAGCTGTTAAAAATTTTGTATCTGTATCTGGCATGTAATAAGTACTCAATAAACATTAGCTATTATTATCTTTAACAACAAAAAAATTTTTTTTGAAGAGATAGGGTCTCCCTCCGTCCCCCAGGCTGGAGTGCAGTGGTGTGATCACAGCTCACTGCAGCCTCGAACTCCTGGGCTCAAGCCACCCTCCCACATCAGGCTCCCAAGTAGCTGGGACTACAGATCACACCACCCACCCAGCTAATTTCTCTTAATTTTGGCAGAGACGCTGATGTCGCCCAGGCTGAAAAACACTTTTTAAAGAATCCAAGTGAAGAATCACTGGAGAGAAACCCCAGCAGCTTCACATCAGTATTGACAGCAGAGAATGGTGCTGAGAAGGAGGGAGGGATCCCACTCCTGGGGAACTCCCCAAGCCCTGATTTTTGGCTTTAAAACCCAGTAAAGCAAGAAGGCAGCCAAGACTGTTTGAAAACACTGATGAATTTAAGTCATACCCCAAAAATCTAGTAGAAGGGAAATTCTAACATACAGAGAAAAAAAAATTTCTTTGGCACATTAAATAAGAGTTCTTTATAAACAGAAAGATAGAATTAGCACTTCACTCAAAGTCAGGAACAGGAATCCTTGGCTTTCTTTATTAGTTATGTAACCCTGGATGAGACTCTCTGTATCTCATTTTGACAGCCATAAAGTGGAAATAATGCCTGACTTTTCTGCTTCAAGTGATCCCTGTGAATCTAAAATAATGTCCACAATATTGTAAAAGAAAAAAAGGTTAGAAATAGCATCTACTGCGTGATCCCATTTTCATGAATTATTTACAATGTGCAGAAAGTGACATGTACAAAGACTTTATCCTAAAATGTTAATTGTGGTTGTCTTTGCTTAGTGGGATTTCCATTTTCCAGTTTTATTTTGCTTAAATTTTCTATATAACCACACATTTGCTTTTTAAAAACTTAATCTATTTTCTTTTGATAACAGAGTAACTTAAAATGTTACATAAGTGCAAGATAGTAAACCCTGAACTCTGAACCCACGCACACAGCCCAAGCAATCTTTTCAGATGAGATTGTGGGACCCCTGCGATACAACCTCACCTGGACCCCGCCAGGCCGGGCTTCCAGCCACGTGCCCCTTCTGTGCTAGGTCTCATTTCCAACTATCACACAACTGTCTTCCAAGCAGCAGCTATCACACAAATATGGGCACAGTCCATGGGATTTCCTATCAGCCCTCACAAAGATACACACATGCCCAGAACGCCCAGAAATTATACAAATTCTACGCGATGGGTCCAGTTACTGCAGGCCAAGGTTGCGGTTCCTTAAGTACCTGATACAACATGGACTACTGTTTCCAAAGGGGCTGGGAGAACACCGGGAAGCACCATAAACCCTCCAGAAGTCCACACACTGCACGAATGGAAGACAAGGTCTCTTGAGATGACCCCCAAGTTCCCTGAGAGCTGACTGTCCAAGGCATTTAAATGGGAAAACGGATATCCCTGTCCCCACAGCACGTTGGCCATGTTGGCTCTGGTGGAAGTCAAGTCAGTGCTTACTCCCTGCACGTATCTCACAAACGTGGTGCTAGTCGCCAGTGAATTCACCTGCTGGCCCTCCTTCCTGGAAGGACCTTTCCCTTTCCCCTTAGGAGAGGGCTGAGGTCAAGGTGAACACATGGTGAGTGGCACAAATCACAGAAGCTTGTGCTGAGCCACAGGAACGGTAGGAGAATTTATATTTACATTTACTTTGCATCCAACCCCTCAAAGTAAGAACAAAGAGTTCAGGTATCAGAAGCCAACGAAGAATAATTTTTTTTTCTATCCGGTGCACCTGTTGCCTCAGTGAAAAGTTTGGTTCAATTGTCTTGTCTGTGGCTTCCAAGCAGCCCAGGTATATTACACACAAAGCCTTCATTCTCCTTTCTGGGCTGTCTCTTTTCCACTGCAGAAGTCTGTCTCCTACACACAGACCAGAAACCTCAAGTTACAAATACATTCCTTCCTAAGAGCTATTTTCCTTCCTCCCTACTAGAAAGCTGTCTTTCAAAGTCACCTTTAAATTTGTGTACTATACAAGATATTTAAATGTCTAGCATAACTGAGATGAAGATACAGTGACTTGACAGATGAGAAACCAGCTCTTTATGAAGTTCAGAACAAGACCATCCTATCCCTTAGGCCTGTTTCGAAGCAGGTGTTAGTTTTGATACTAAATATATCACCTTTTTCTAAACAGCATCAGAAAAAAAGCTCATGGGTCACAGCCTGCCTTTCAGATCTTACAATACTATCTAAATGTCTCCACTTTTGCTCCATAGAGAGGACAACAGACTCCGGTCATGGCCTGACATTCAGAAGGTGGTGGCTGACACAAGCCTGTAAGCCTCTGGAGAAGCACCATGAGGATGGAAACCAGCCAGGCCCAGACCCCAACTGTGCTCACCCCCCGCACCCGCAGCGCTGGCATGCACAGGCCAGCGCTCCGAGAGAGCTACAGCTGAGACCCACAGGGGACGGTGCCACCAGCCATCCTATCTCTGCATACGTCCTTTGATGAGCCTGTTACTATGTACGGAATAAACGTAAGTTGATGAAAATCTGGAGCACCAGACATGTTTGTTGCTGAAGCTGAAATTGATATGTACACAGTCATGCATGACAACAATGCAGAAAATTCTAGACTATGTGCACACCTTTTAAAAACTCAACTTTTTATCCCTAAGACCTCAGACCCAAGAAATTTAAGGGTAGTTAGTTCTTTCATTTCTCTGAAAATTCAGAATTAGATTTGTCTCTCCTCAATCAGGTAAAAATGTATCGAAATAGGTTTCCCTCCCTCTGTCTTTCTCTTTCTCCTCTCATCAACCTTTTAGAATGCTTTTGGGAAGTTTGCTGATGTACACGCCAACTCTCACTGCATGCGGTTGGTCACTCGGCCTACAGATACGAACCTACTATGTGTCAGTAGGCTCAATGCTGCTTCGAAGCCAAACACTTCCCCAAACTCAGGCTGTGCGACAGGCCGGGGTGGCTCGGCTCCCTGTGCTCAGTGTGCGAGGATTTCCCGTTTGTGCACTAGACAGAGGCCTTGAGCCACGGCCCCAGGCTTCTGCAACGAGGAGGGTAAACTCGGCCCTCTGCGGTCAGTGTGCCTCATACAGGAGCACCCACGGACTTCCAGCGGCTCTCAGCGATGTGCCCACCCACACACCCTGTGCATTTAAGCTCAGGGAAACGCCAAGATTTCTAGATTCAAGAATTCTTGACTCTGGAAATAAGGCAAAAAGGCCAGATACGTGTGCTTTTCCTCAAAGCCCAAGTATGCACATAAAACATTTCATTTCTCAAATGTGTGTTCACTCAGAACATCTTTTTCTGTGACACTCCCTTCCCAAGGATCCCTAAGGAAATGGCAGGATGAAACTGCGATGTGGCTGCCTGCACAGGACACACAGCGGCTCGGGACCACTCACCCAGACAGCGCGGAGGCTCACCTGGCCCTCGGACAACAGGCGGCCAGTGTGAAGGTCCCCTCGTTCCTTTGGAAACCCATTGACATGGAGCCCTCGAGAGGCCAGGGCCTGACAATGCAGCTTCTACAAGGCTTTTCACCCTCAACAGCACGGGACATCTGTTAAGGCTTCTTGCTCCCAAAGAAAGGCTCCTTCTCTGTCCTCTGCTGCCCATCCTGCCCCCAAGAGAACCGCCTGAGCCAACCCGCTGCCAATCACCGAGCAGCTCAGGGTCTGCGGGGCTGTGGAGGGTAAGCTGTGGCCCTTCCCTAGCAGGGGGTAGAGGGGTGGGCCGGCAGGAGCCCCTGAGAGATGTCTCAGTGGGTCCAAGAGGACTCTGAGGCAGAGGAGGGCTCAAACTAGAATCAGGACAGAAAGTCGAATAAATCACACAGAGCGAGCCTGGGAGTTCCTAGTGGGGGCCGAAGGAGAAGAGCTGGACGGGGTGATCGGGGACAGGGAGGCTGAAGAGGGTCTGCCAAGCCAGATAGATGGGGGAGTTCGGAGTCAGCCAGGCCACAAGGGACCAGAGCTCTTCTGAGGACACCTGCCCTGGGCGGCCACTGCTCACCTTTACACACGGGCAGGAAGAGCTCACGTCCTGGCCAGCAGTCTGGGCTACTGCACTGCCGTGAGCGAGCTCCTCTCCGGCACCCTCGGCCAGTCGGAACAGGTTCGGATTTGATTTCGTGAAGCCCGTCACCTTTCCAACCACCCTCCCCCCGGCAAAAAAAAAATAGCTGAATGCACTTGTTTCACCTCACCATTCCCAACTTCAGGATAGATATTTTCTGTTTGAAAATTTCAGGACCAATCGACTCATTTCCTCTCTCCTCCCCTCTCCATTCTCTCTCTGGGCAGCCGCCTCCCAGCCCTCGGACCACACACTGGAGGATCCCTGGTCCGGCTCCTCTGCACGGCGTGTGGGCTGAGCCAGAGGACTTCACGCCCTGGCGGCTCTAGCTTGTCCAGCTGGAGGCTGCGACGACAACGCGCCATCCCATCCTCCCTGCTCCCACGGGAGGTGCTCTGCCCTGTGTCTGTAAGTCCTGCTGGAGCGACCACACATGGCAATGAGACCACTCAGCCCACACGGGACCACAAGGGCACCTTTCTAAAGCCGTTATCTGGGAAGGGAAGTGAAAACGTACCAGCCACACAGAGCCGGAGGAGCATTCCAGCACTTCGGACTGGGCCCTTAGCATGCAGAGACTGTTTTCCTAAACTTCACAACCTGGGCTCTCTTGGCCGGGCGTCAAGTTGACTGAGTCATTACCTGTTTATACCCACAGGCCCGTGTCTCCATGACAAAAGCTCCAAAGAGAACTAGCAGGGAGCTGGTAGGCACCAGCGGGCTCGCCTTTCACTCCGGGAGGAAGCTGCGGAACGTGCAGTCGACAGCCGCGGCCAGAATCCCGCCGCCCTTCTCGGGGCAGGCCCCGGGCACCCCTGAGCTGGGACCTCGAGCGCTGGCCACCACTGGGGCCCTTTCTGTCCTTTTCTCTCTCATCGTCTTTCTGCCGGTTCCCAGGGCAGGACACAGAGAAGGAGCAGACTTACAGAGTTGTCCTGAGTTCTGGAATGAAGGCCACCAACACTAGTGACTGTTCCTTCCATAACAGATGATTTTACCACAGGGGTACATTGGTGCTACAGACCCTCGATCTTCCTCCTTCTCTCCTCACCTCTACCAAAACCAAAAACACCACGTCTGGAAGTGGAGCCGGGCCAGCATGTCAGGAGACCTGTGAGGCCGATGAGAACACACAGGGCCACTGGCTGGCCTCCTGCTCCTGAAACAACGTGGTTGCAATTCACACACTCACCAGTCCCTGAACACACAATACACATGCTCCCGCACACACACATACACACTCTCTCACACACACACGGAGACAGGGAGAAGCTTTAACTGGCGGTTTCTATGACACGAGCCCTTCAGCAACTCATACAACCCACACTTGTTTCTTCAGGGCTTCCTGAGACTGTGGCTTTTCCACTTCTAACAGATCTTTGTAAGCTGGACTGAAAGGATTCAGATACCAGCTTCTGCAGAGAGTGTAGCACCCACTGTACTGGGCTGTCTTCCTTTTAAAACAGGTGCCCCAAAGATGGAGCCAGAGACCACAATGGGAAGCCTGGGGCTGAGAGGGACAGAGTCAGAGGCCGAAGGACGGTGCCTCAAGTGCGCCCCTTCACAAGGGGTAACAAGCACCTCTCACCCCGTCTCAAAAAGAGCTGTCAGATTATCAGAGGTGACACAAAACCATGTTAAATTCGTTGGAATTTTACCCAAAAAAATCAAGAGTATTTGTTTTTGATTTTTGCCTTGTGACTATACGCGATCAGTTTAAAATCAATGCACACAGCAGGAAGGGTCTTTGAATTCTTTCTGAATACGTAAAAACTCTAAACACACTGCCATTAACAGACCATTAATTAGAAAGACACTCATTCCCCCATTCAGGGAAGACAGAGAAGACAGCGAGCATGTTTAAGGAATAATGTATCTTTTTATTTTTAAAAAAGACTTTTCTTTATATTATTACTGAACACTAAACCTTAGAGCTTTGAGGGAACTTAGCGGCATGGCCTCCGGCCCATGGGATGCCGACGGCCACTCGAGGAATGTCGCTGCTACGGCACGGAACTGCCTCGCAAGCAAAAGCACAGTATCTGTGTTTTAGTCATCTCTCTGGATATTTTCAAGAAAATTCAACTGAAAATAAGGCATATAGAAATGTTAAAATAGGGAAATAATACAAATGTTAAAAAATAAATGACTAGTGGTTCTTTAAAAATTAAAAATAGAATTATTACATGATTCAGGAATTCCACTTCTGGGTATACACGCAAAAGAATGGGAAGCAAGGTCTCAGAGACATTGGTACACCCGTTTTCACAGCGGCACTATCCACAACTGCCATAAGGTGGAAGCAACTCAAATATCCATCGACAGATGAATGGATAAGCAAAATGTGGGCATTCATACAATGACATATTATTCAGCCTTAAAAAGAAAAGAAATTCTGACATGTGCTATGACACAGATGAGGACATTATACTAAGTGAAATCAGCCAGTTTCAAAAAGACAGATACTATATGATGGACCTAGAATAGTCAAAGTCTAAGAGACAGAACATAGAACGGTGGTTGCTAGGGTCTGGGGAGGAGGGATAGGGAGACAGTATTTAATAGGTACAGAGTTTGGGTTCTGTAAGGCAAAAAGAGTTCTGGAGATAGACGGTGATGATACAACTACATGAATGTACTTAATGCCACTGAACTGTGCACTTAAAAATGGTTAAAATGGTAAAGTTTATGTTATGTGTATTTTACCACAATAAAAAAAATTTGTTCAATGACTGGTAGTGTTCAAATAGTACTGGATGATTCTGTAGCTACATCAAAAACATCTAGCCAGGTGAGCACTTTTATCTGTAACTTGTTTTCGAAAGATACCTTTGTAAATAGTTCCACTTTTCATCTGCGCTGCAGTTACTCAGTCACGAAACACAAACTCAGAAATCAAAGTCACGCTCAAACACCACGGGCTCTGAACTTCCTTAAAGTGACAAAAAATTCAAACAACTAATTCACAATCCATGATTAGCATCAATTTGCAGCAAACAAATGAAAAAATATTGACTTACCCTCTTAGAAAGGCATATTGCTGATGACGACACAGTACCAAAAATAAGTCCAGCTGTCCTGAAAACTTTTTCTACAGCGTCATTTAACAAGAAAAGACAAAATGTCTTAATGTCCACTAGCCAAGCACAGTACTTAACAGATTTCTACCATTAGGCTACCCGCATTACATTCTGCAGAAGTATTTTAAAATCAATTTTGAAATAATATCTGAAAAAGAGGTGAACTGGATCCAGAAATCAAAGATGACTGCATGAAGGAAATGAGTAACCATCATTCCTAATGATTCTGTCTCCGTCGGCATTAACAACATAGGAAAATGTGGATTACGCCATAATGGAAATTGAAACCACTAAGGCTGACAAAAGTGCACATACACGAAGATGGAGCACAAGCCTGGAGACCCCGTGCCGGTGAGGGACACTCTGGCGCTGAAGCTCTCACCTCTTGGTGATCTGGCTTGGCTCCTGCAGAGCCGGGTCCAGGTCAAAGACCTCATTATCCAGCAGCCTTCGGAGCGTCACGTCGGCCAACTGCTCCATGATCTTAAACACCTCGTCCAGGTTCAGAAACATGGAGAAGTCCCGCTCCTTATTCTGCGTGGTGATGCGGATGGTATCCGTCAGAAAGACATTGGATGTCCTTTCTAATTTCTGGATATCAACCCAAGGGACTACAAGTTTAACTGCAAGAGAAAACGGACAAACACATCTTATGTCATAAAATTTGAGCCAAACTTGAGTGTGCCTGCAAGCAACAATGCAAAGCCTTCCTTAGGGAGAAATGCAAACGTCTTTTAAACCAGAGCAGGAAAGAAGAGTACAGAACTGCTGACAGCTGTTGGTTCAAACCTAACTCATGTTCTAATGGTTTTCTGAAAGATTTAAGTAAAACTTCCCAAGTTGCTGGCTACTGTACATTTCCAGGGATTACTACTTTGAAATACCAAGTTAATATCGTATAACTTTCTCAAAAATATTTAAACTTCAACAGTTATGCAAAAGTTTCTGAAGCTACATAGATTCTGGTTTCAAAAACAGCATTCATGGCATAAACTGTGGGGGGGGAGAGCATAAAAGAGGATTATTCATGATCGCATTTACAGAAATGGACTTAATGTTTAAACTGTGTCAAACAGTGCTGTCAGAGTCTTGGGAGAGAATACAAGTAGTTTTTATGAAACTCTTTTTAAAGTAAGACAATCTAAACAGTACATTGTAGAAACAAGTGTTTTGTTCTCAGAAATGTTTCTAACACAGCAGTAGCTATGGTGGCAGTACAGACAGCGCCAACAAGAACAGTCAGTCTCACAGCTCTGGCTGGTTTTATCAAGGAGACATACACAACAACTTAAAATGAGAAATGTTACTCGATATTAGGAATTGTTTCTTTTTTCCAAATCATATCATCTTAACACAATTAGGTTTAGTGATAATCACTAATAAGTATCAGAAAATAATTCATTTTCTTTTTCAAATAAAGTAGGGAACAATTAAGTGTTTTTATTTTTGCTCTTTCTTTCCATTTATCTTACAATACTGTTTTCAGTGCTTTAATAATTTTAAAAGGCCACATTTCTACATCAAACTTGAGAATAAGCTTCTCCAGCTACTTCTAGTTGTTTTCACATAAAGTCTTTTACATACATGCACACACATTTCACCTACACCATCAACTTTCATTCATTAAGCACCTACTTTGTGAAGAGCCCTGCATTGAAGGAGCTTGTTCAAACAAGGAAAACAGACATGCGAACAAGTAAGCGACCACTGATTTGATGGGTCCCAGCATAGAAATACAAATATGGGACAAATTATATAGGAACCAGGAAGGCTTCCTGGAGGTGACAAAACATGTACTGAGTTTTGAAGGATGAACAGTGAACAGAAGTTTCCAAATAGGCTAAGTATGGGGAAAGGAAGGAAAGGCAGGTGTTCACACTGAAAAGCATTTCAGAAAGAAGGAAAACAGGATGGCTAAGGTTAGATCAGAGCACATGACAATGGCAGGGAAGGGCTGTGCAGATAGGGTGTAGATCCTGGAGCAGCAGAACGAAGGCTGATGAGCTGGAAAAGGAAGGAACACCATGTGCCAGAAGCTAGCCACAGCAGACACTCAAGAGGAGCCCCCCACCACTGGTTCAACCAGAAACATAAATGTGGAAAGAAAAAAAGTATATGTATATACACACCTATATATACACAGGTATACACACATGCACAAAGAGAGCAACCACACCACCCAGTATGGCACTTGAAACAATATTTGGTTCTGAAAGAAGTTTCAATGGGAATGACTTTTTAAACATTCAACACACAATTGACCCTTGTGGCTTTTCTCTTTCACCTTGGAATCCCACTGCCTAACTCAGCTCCTGCTGCTGGATAAACACATGAGAGGTGAATCAGTGCATGAATCTCAGGTGGACCCAGACAAACTCCCCTTCTAGAAGCAACTGTGTATCCAGCCACTCTTCCAAGGGGCAATCATGACCTTCAGAACTGGGAATTTTTTAAATGGCCTCCAATGTTAAGAAGCAGGAATATGTTCTACTCTTTGAGAAATACTCAGCCACCAGTTACGACACTGTGTTTTCAAAGCGACCTATGGTGCTAAAAACCCTTTAGTGGCCACATGAAGTGAGCTACACAGAAACATTTCTTAAGGCAGCAGGAAAAATGAACTTTCCCCAAAGCAAATCCCCTGGTAGCAGTAGCATATATAACTGATCAAGTGTCACCTGTTGCCATCTCTACCATTTTCTTAAATCTTTTGCTGTTTAACTCTTCACATCCATGACCTTTCCTGGGAGCAGCGCTAAGCATCCCAAGGGCTGGCTCTGTCTGTGAAGGGCCAAATCGCTCCCAAGCCAACCCCGGCAAGGGCCGCACTTACGTTCCTTGCCCAGGAAGAAGGAGTAGAAGCAGAGGTGGTTGATGCTGAGGTACAGCCAGCCTTGGCGCGGCACCCTGCCCTTCCAACAGCAGCAGGAGTAGTAGGTGACCAGCTTCTCTGCCTCGGGGAAGTTGAATCTGGCCTCGAACTTCACCAGGGCTTCTCGGAATTTCTCGGGCTCCTCTTCCTGCTCGGCGAGCCTGCTGCTTGCCTCCTCGGCAATCAGAGCCTAACACACAGGAAGAGGACAGTCCCTGGTTCAGTGAGCCGGGCAACGGGAAGGCAGAGAGGGACAGACGGGAGCAGGAAGGATAGACGAGCACTGGCCCCAGGCGGAGTCTGTGCTGCTTGAACAGCAGACAGCCTGACGCTGACAGGGCTCACCCACGTCCCCTGTCTGTGCCCCGGGAATATGGCCACGGCAGGAAAGAAAGGATGGGAGTTGGGGTTGGAAAACCCAAGAACCAGTCTCTCACTGTGCCACTTACCAGCCAGTGTGCGAATCACTTGACTCTTAAGCCAGTGCTCTCAAACCAATTATTACTTTATAAATCCTCCCTACAGGGATATGAGGATCCAAGGACTGGCTCAGGTATGTGAACTCACTGCATCAACCCTGAAGAACGACCCAAGTTTGAGTTAAACATTAATCTTTTGGAAAAAATTCATAACAGTCTTCCTCATTAGGTTCAAAATGTTGGTATTTGCAACTAACGCCTGCCTGCCTGTGGGCCGCCTGGTCACTGTGCTCTCTGCAGTCTTTGATAGACAGTGGCCAAGATGCCCACGGTCATAAACACCTCCAAAGCACTCAGGTCTACGGGGAAACAGCATCTGAATGTACAATTGTTTTGCCAATAACAAATAACAATTAGTGCCCTTCATAATCTGGGGTGGTGGTAGAAGCTCCTAGAATTGAAGCTTGTGACTTGTTTGTTCCTAAGGGGAGACAGCTCATCATTGCCAAGATCAGAATTCTGATTACCCATTTCTGGGAGCTCACTGAAAAATTCTTCACTGAAAATATCTTCCTGGTACCTCCACGTGAGCAACTATTTAAGGACTCCAGAGCCCCAGGCCTCACATGTGCTATTTAATTTTAAAAATGTATTTATAATTCAACTTCCAGCTACTCAGGAGGCTGAGGCAGGAGGATCAAAACACAGGAGTTAGAGGCTGTAGTGCACTATGATTTTATCTGTGAATAGCCACTGCACTCCAGCCTGGGCAACACAGCAAGACCCTGTCTTTTAAAAAAATAATAATAATATGTGTGTGTGTGTGTGTGTGTGTGTGTGTGTGTGTGTGTGTATGTGTATCTTTATAATTCTATCCTTTTATTTTTATTAACATTTCCCTTAGTTTTGTTTTGTAGGTATGCCTCATGAAAGGCTATGTCCCTTAAGACAAGGCTACTTTTGGAGGATTGCTACCAAACCCTACGTTATACAAGCTATTTTTGAAATTAAACCTGGGCATTGACATTAAAATAACAACGTAATTTAAAATTATTTTTAAAAGAAATCTGAAAGCTGGTGAAATTTCAAGTAATTTTCATTTTCTTTATTATGTTTTTCTCTATTTTCCACATTGTATTTAGCAAGACATCATGAGCTATTAAAGTTACAATTAAAAAAGATGAGTATTGTTTAAAAGCATAACTGATATATTGTAGAAGTTTAGTTCTCCCCTTGCTCTGGAAGTGAGGCGAGAGGGGTTTTATGGAGGCTCTAGAGCAAACAGGCTGGGCTGCAGAACAGGATCTGGTGGCTCCAGATGCAGCCACCATGTGGCCTCCCAGACTCCTGACTGGCATGGACCATAGTGTCTGGTTACAGGCACAGCTGGAAGCAAAGGGATTTTTTTTTTTTTTTAAGTTTTACAGAGTGGTCAAAGGTTCAGGGTATGAGTAGGAGAGTCCCAACTTCCAGACCCTTCGGATTTTGCCGTAAGAAAAGGTGAACAAATGCCATGTGTGCTACCAGGCTCAGGCACCTTGCTCCCTAGCCCTGTCTCCTTGGGACTTTTTCCCAAGCGTTTTAGCTCTGAAGTATCAGAGACCAGAATACGTCACCCCGAAATATGCCACTTTAGCACAAAGATTTATTCTGAGCTGAAGACAGTTGAGAAAAGGTAGATACCAAAAAGGCTCTCTGTCCTCCCCCACTCCACACACCTGCCCATTTGCCTAAAAACAGGACATAATTTCCACTTGTGACAGTGTCTCCCCATCCGGTACCAAAAAGAGGACTTCATGAGGCTCTTCCCAGTCCAGGGACGGCAAAGAGGGGAACGTACCTAAAAAACCTGACTAACATAACCCCTGGCTTCCACGAGTTCCCCCCATATATTTACCATCTACGGTTCACCACCCCAAAAGCCTAAACCCCTTGTCATTTCTCTAAAAACTTATTGTTCTGGCAGAGATGCTATAAAAGCCCAAGTTCTAACCACCCCTTGGAGGTACTCACTGCCGAGGTTCTGCCACACGCATGTGCACTGTATGTGTTAACATAAGCTCTGTTTTTCTCTTGTTACTCTTTCGTCAGTTTCATTTCCAGGGTCCCAGCCACAGAACCCTGGACAGTAGGGGAAAAGTTTTCCTCTTCTACAGAAACTTTCCTAAAACCCTTGTAGCAGAAGTTAATTTCCTCCCTCCAAATCAAGAAGAGAAACCCCTAAATCGAAGAACCACTACATCCAATGTTAGAGCAAGAAAAGTTGGGTAAGTGTGGAAAATAAGCTCAAAGGGGCATTTCTGTAGCTAAACCCCAATGTGATCTGACCCAGGGCATCGAGCCACCGTCAGCCAGACCATGATGAGGGGGTGACCCAAGAGCTGGACATGGGCCCCACCATGGCGCCTCTGACCCTCAGGCCGGGGATAACACAAAGAGGACACCAGCGCACTGCCGAGATGACTGGACTTAGGAGGCCTTTTTCTTTCCACCTGATCCCACAAGTATGGCCTAATGCCCAGAGGAAAAGAGTACTTCTGTTTTGTTCCTCTAAAATCAAAACTTCGCTTTGACAGCCTTTACTAAAAGCCGCAGCACTTGAGGTGTTAGAAAGCCAAGCTTTTTGAAGAAAACAAACAAAATCAATGGTCTGGGATGTTTTACCCTAAGGGAAGAAAGCTGTACCACAGGCTAATGCATTAAAATATTTAACGGGAGAGTTAAATTTAGCGTAAGAAACCATCTCTCCCAGCCCAATAGGATTTTTAAAGCAGATTACCCGTCCTGTTCTTACAGTGAAACCAGTTATACAAGACTATAACTCACAGGAGGTATCAACAGATATCTCTCAAAATATTCCTCTCCTGCCACCTCAAAACTTAATTGACTGTAATGCCATTCAATTTACATATTTTTAAAATAAACATCTACTTTTAGCAGGAGGAAAGTGCTAGGTCCAACAAAATAGTGTGACAAGATGTCACAGCTACAGAAAGTTGAGAATAACTGATTTAAGAAGTCAACTAATGTGTTGCTCTACAAAAACATAAATCTTAACATTATGTTTTCTCCCCCCAGGACAAGAAAGGGCCTTCACTTATGTAAAGGGTAACAAAAACTACGCCTGAAAATAAAGTCATTTTTAAAAAAAATTCAGGCACATTTTGCTGGACGGACTCTGCAAAGTTTGACTGGTGACAAGTCAAACTCATTTGGCTTTATGTGTAATAAGCCAAACAGTTCAGTTAGAGTAGAAAAAATTGTTAGCATGCTACAGTGTTTAAAACGGCATAAGGAAATTTTAAGAAGGATTGGAAGATGGGGAGAAATGTTAAAATCAAAGGACCTACCTTTACCTTCCCTTTGACAAAACTGGCAATGTCGTCTTTATTATCAAAGACGGACAAGGTGTGCAGGAGATTTTGTTCCAGCCAATCCCAGTGCTGGTTTATTTCCTCTAAAGTTGCACCTGGATTAGAACAGAAAAAAATACAGAGATTAAAAAATGAAACAAAAGTAATTCCTAGGTGGGCACAGTGGCTCACACCTGTAATCCTAGCACTCTGGGAGGCTGAGGTGGGAGGATTTCCTGGGCTCGGGAGTTCAGGACCAGCCTGAGCAAAAAGGAGACTCTGTCTCTACTAAAAATATAAAAAATTTGCCAGGCATGGTGGCACATGCCTGTAGTCCCAGCTCCTCGGGAGGCTAAGGCAGGAGGATCGCTTGAGCCCAGGAGTTTGAGGTTGCTGTGAGCTAGGCTGATGTCACAGCACTCTAGCCCAAGCAACAGACTAAGACTCTGTCTCCAAAAACAAAAAGTAATTCCCAGAATATGAACTCATTTGCAAAATATCACGTGCCCCAATGTTTATGTTATTAAAACATCTAGGTTCTCACACCCTGGGCCATAGTTTCACACCCCCGTCGGAGCTCTGGTGCCCTCACCACAGCTGAGACTTGCAAACATCAGTCCCACTGCCATGCAGATGGGCCAGCGAACCAGGCAAGTTACCCTTGACACTCTTCTGTGACCAACCTGCCCACCTTCCTAATGCATGGAACACCAACCACCTTCACTCAATCGATAGAAATGTTTTTAATTATATAAGCCCTGAGTAGCAGACCAATTCAGAGCAGTCTCATAGTTTCTCCTGTGACAATAAGGGTCCCTCCAGGGCTGCAGAAGCCCAAGTTCACAGAGGAAAGAACCTCCTGCAAAGGCTCTGCCGGCTGCTCCAGGGTGTTGCCACTTGCAACCGGCATCATTGCAACACAACAAGCAACGGCCCAGGACATTTACAGGTTTACAGAGTTGTACTCCCTATCATTTACAACAGTATCTCTTAAAAGCATATATAAAAAGAGGTCTTATAGTACATGTTCAAACAGAAACACAAAAGCATTAAATCATACACAGTAAATTAATTTCTTTCAATGACCATTTTTAAAAATCACCATATTGTTAAAGCATCAAGAAACTTAGTCATTTTAGATGTCTATATTTCCTGTCCATTCTAGTCCTCTCCACTGGACGATGGGCACTGTGACACGGGAACTGTGCCCAGTTCCTGGCAAAGGGCCTGGCGCATAGCAGACGCGCAGGACGGTCTGCTGACTTGAAGCCAGCACGGTCCTGGACAAGAAAAGGTACGTGTGTATCAGGCATGTCCAGTACAGCCAAATTTCCAAAATGGGAAGCCGGAGATATTCGAACCTCAAAGAAATCAAGGGCTGCTACCAGACACACAACAGCGCAGAGTAACCTAGCCAATGTGAGAGGCTTAGAGGTTACCAGGGCCACCTTCCACTTCCCCAGAAGCCAGACACGCATTTGGTTCAAAGTGAACTTCCTTTCTGTATGTTACCTGCAGCCTTCCTCTCCCCAGAGTATAAATTCGTGTAAGGATCTTATCAATACCCCATGCAAGTGCCAGAGGACGCACTCTGGACTTGCGGACTTGGGGTCAGAGTATGAAGAACATCTATGTTAGCACTGTTGTTCTGAGTGGGCCGTTTGGGAAGGAATAAAAAGAAGTATCTAAGAGAATACTTCGTAGAGAAAAATGAGAGTTAAAAACAACGACACTTATTTCCCTTGCAGTCTCTCAATTTTTAGGCACGGCATTGCTCAGAGCAATATCCTTCAGTCGCCACTGAAGCCACTCTTCTTGCCAGAGCTGGGCTGGCCCCAGGGCTCACTCCACACACCACCTCCATTCACAGGCCAGGACTCCACAGTCCTGCACCAAGAGCACTGGGCCAGTGGCCCTGCCCGGCTGCCCCAGTCCCACCTCCCCTGCCCTGCTCTCTGGGGATCAGTAAGCCCAAGCAGCACCACCTTGGGGCGTAGGAGAAGCCACCTTTGGGGTGAGGGGTCATGATCCTCTTGCTCTCTGCTCCCCTCTGTCCGGGAGGGCTCCTGTGGTGTCAGGAAACCCCTGGCCCTTCAAGGCTCCCCATCCCTCTTGTGACAGGGAAAGTTCATTTTAGAACAGAATCAAACTAAGCAATGCCAGTCTCCCCGGCATGACTCTCTTGAAGCTTCAGACCTTTCTCTACCTGAACTTGGGGCCCAGAGCATCTGCTTGGCTCCTCAGCTGGTGACAACCACACTGACATGCTTACATGACTGAGCTCCATATCTGGTTCACCTGCCTCTGGCTTAGGTCTCCCTGTTCTGTTCGGGGGCATCAGCCACAAGAACACCCCCTAAATCTGGTGGGTCAGCAGAGCGTCTTTGTATGGGGAGGGCAGCACATCACATCCCTAAGCTGCGTTCCACCAAAGCCGATAATCTTGCACAGGCACCTTGTGGGGGGCCCAGGGCCCTGCTCTTCCCTGATACTTTAAGGCCTTTGTCTTTCTAGGTCTTTAACCTTCATTATCCATTACAATAAACTAACCAGTCAGAATACTCAAAAAACAAGTGAAGAATAAAAGATAAAGGAGTATCTTTATTGGCCTTCAGTCTTTTGCTCTATGTTATCGTGTACTTCCACATTCATTAAAAAAAAAAAAAAGAGTTGGAAGAATGAGGACGAACAAGAGAGGAGAGAGCTCTCATCTTTGCGGTTCTATCCTGTTTCAGGTGTGATCCAAAGGAGGAAAGGGAGGCTCGAGTATTTGTCCACCGTCATATATCGAATGCAGGGCACACCAGGGTATGAAATCACTCGCTACAACCTTGCAGTATGCTGGAGTCCTCCCATAGGAAACTATATTTGAATTTTAAGTATCATTGACATAATCCTCAGGTCCAGTTCTTGCTATGGCTGGACAGTAAAAGTTACTTTGTGCTTGCACTTAGAGTGAGCTCTCCCTCCCTGCAATCTCATCTTTCTGAATGAATGATGTGAGAGGTTTTTGTTTATCCTGTTATTAAAGTTCACGGTGGGGCCGGGCGCAGTGGCTCATGCCTATAATCCCAGCACTTTGGGAGGCCGAAGTGGGAGGATGATTTGAGCCCAAGAGTTCAAGACCAGCCTGGACAATATCACGAAATCCTGTTTCTACAAAAAATAAGAAAAATCAGCTAGGCGTGATGGCGCGTGCCTGTAGTCCCAGGTACTGGGGAAGCTAAGGGGGCAGAATCACTTGAGCCTGGGAGTTCAAGGCTGCAGTGAACTATGGTTACACTCACTGCATTCCAGCCTGGGTGACAGAGTGAGACCCTGTCTCTAAAAATATATATAAGTAATAATAATAATAAAAAGCTCACAGAGACTAACATAGTTATAACCACTAACCATGTGTCTTCCTCAACTGATAACTTTAGATAACACGAAAAAAATTATAATTAACAGCCGGGCGCGGTGGCTCAGGTCTGTAATCCTAGCACTCTGGGAGGCCAAGGCGGGCGGATTGTTTGAGCTCAGGAGTTTGAGACCAGCCTGAGCAAGAGTGAGACCCCGTCTCTACTAAAAATAGAAATTAATTGGACGGCTAACAACATATAGAAAAAAATTAGCCGGGCATGGTGGCACATGCCTGTAGTCCCAGCTACTCGGGAGGCTGAGGCAGAAGGATTGCTTGAGCCCAGGAGTTTGAGGTTGCTGTGAGCTAGGCTGACGCCACGGCACTCACTCTAGCCAGGGCAACAAAGAGAGACTCTGTCTCCAAAAAAAAAAAAACAATTATAATTAAGCCTCAACACATCACCAAAATTAAGACTTGAAACAAAGTCATTAAACAACTAGACTTTTATTCTTTAAAAACTTCTATCTACTAGGAAGAGCTTATAATAGGGAAAGATAATTAAAAAAAAAAAGTACCTTAAAAAGAAAATAAAATAGAACATATAAAACCTATCACTGAGTCGCAGTTAGGTTTCATCACAATCTACCCTGCTCCTGAATATAGGGTGTGCCTCTCCCAGCAGACACAATCGATATGATGAAACTTTTCCACCCTACCGTCTTCCACTTCCTACAAAAGTTGCCAAACGGCAGGGAAATTTTCCAAACTATAATTTCCTCTGCAGGGAAGTCTTATGATGGGCTTCACAAATACCATAAATCAATGCAAGCCGACTGCACATCCGTGACCGCAAAGGACTAAAAGGGAAAAGTCCCTCAACCTATGTCACCAACCACAGTTCTAAAACCACACTACAGCAATGTTTTTCAAATTACGTGAAACAGTGCATCTGAAAATAGCTTTTTTCAAATAAATAATGAAGTAGAACAGAAAATAGAATATGTGCCATCTTGTAAGGATAGCTACTGATTTGTGAAATATTTGTTAGAGTTATGCACGGACAAATGTATTTCTGTCTGTAGGTCACGGTCAAAAGAAGTTTGAAAGCCACTGCATTACAGACATACAAGTGGTAAGAGAGGTAAAGAAGATAAAATAGGAAAGTGAGACTGTGTCACCATTGAAAAGGGAGGATAATAAATAAAAATCCTATGAACTAACCCAATACTATAGCAGTGTTCCCACTGCTGCTGCTGCAGGCATTCCAAAACCAAGGCAGAAGAGAGCAATTGCTGTGGCCTGACTTTATTCTCCCCAGAATTCATCTGTTGAATCCCTATCTACCAATGTGACTCCATTTGGAGACAGGACTCGTATGGAGGTAATTGAGATTAAATGAGGTCATTAGGGTGGGGCCCAAATTCAGGGTCCTTAGAAGAAGAGGAAGAAACACCAGGGATCTGTGCACAGAGAAAAAGCCACGTGAGGTCACAGTGAGAAAGTGGCCATGTACAAGCCAAGGGGAGAGGCCCCACCAGAGAAACCAACCCCACTGGCACCTTGATCTTGGACTTGCCCCAGCCTCCAGAATTACGAGAAATAAATGATTGTTGTTTAAGCCACTGAGTCTGTGATTTTTTTTTTTATGGCAGCACTAGCAAACTAATAGAGCTGTCTAAAACCAAAATTTACAGGAATATTGTGGATTGTCATAGAAGTCCAATTAGCAAAATTATACCACCCTGTCTTATTAAGGTTCTTAATTTTGAAAAA